TAACAAAATCATGAATCTTGAAAAATGTTTTCTTTCAACACTGTGCCAAGTACATACAGGTTTAGTCTTTCTTGCAAAGCTGTCATTCTGGCATGGAAGAATTTTTAAATAGTCACACTAAATCAGGAAAAGAAGAGGAAAATTGATTGTAAATGGAATTAGGGTAATGCCTGGAGTTATTATTGGCATCACAGCTTACATAGCCTTCTTTCTAGAAGTGTTTCACATTTAATATGCCAAGTCCCAGAGCAGTAACAAAAGATGGGGGTGGGGTCCAAGTCTCTTAATTTCACATTAAAATCCGTATGTTTGTTCCTATTTACACATTCCAATAACTATACTGTTCACTTTATTTATATATGAAATACTAAAATGTGTATAAGATGACTGTGATTTTATGATGTATTCGTAATAACAAAGATATTTTTTCTTACACTGTGGTAGCTGCTTTTGTTACACGTCACTTTCCCTGAAATACAGCAATGTTGGCTGGAAGAGACAAATGGCAGGAAACTTCCTTATGCTGCCTTCTGGCATTTTTCTTGGAACTGAACTACACATACTGCCATAGTCCTCTGACGATGGGGGGTGAGCTCTTGCAGACTAGTGTGGGTTTCAGTCTCTGTGGGAATAAAGCACACGGCCAGCTCCACTATATAGAGGGTGGCTCCTGCACCGTGTGAGGCTGGATCCAGCAGCCTTACCCCATGCTGCCAGTGTACACAGTTTCTGCACAGCCTGGGCATGAGCTACGGGGGTCTGAAGCCCTCTGGCATCCTGCCACTATTACGGGGGGAAAGGGGGGAATAAGACACAGGCTCTGTCAGGCCTCCCTTGCCCCTCGCAAGTGTCCCAGCCGCTCCCTGCAGCCCCAGGAGCATCCTGCGGGCTGTGCCCCATCACAGCTGTGCCCCATCACTGCTGAGCGGCAGCGGGGAGCCCCGCTGCATTCCTTCCTCCCCGCAGAACCCACCCGGCACGCCGATGCCACGGGGACACCAGCAGGCCTGGAGCCCCGGGCTGGATGTCATTCCTGGTGGGATCCGGCTCCACTGCTGGGACCCAGGACTGTCAGGACACGGGTAATGCAAAGTAAAATGAAAAGCATCTATAAATCATACTGAAACATAAATAAAAGAAGAAAGTAAAAAAAAAAAAACCAACCAAACAAACAAACAAAAAAAAAAAAAGCAAAACAAAACAAAAACCAAGGCTGGAACAGTCATAGTAACAAAGTAGGTAGTGGAAGCAAAATGTTTACACAAAAATCTATGGTTAGCAGATCTAAGAATGAAAGTAGACAAAGAAGTTCCCAGTTGTACTGGGAATCCTGATAATTTTACTGTTCCATGACTGGATGATGATAACAGAACAGAACCGACAAGAATTCATGAAAAGCAGTCATTTAGTGTCTGCTTTTGGGGAAAGCCAGATGGTAGAGTCATATGACATTAAATGATGCAGTCCTTTTAATTTTAACCAGTTACACAGAAGTTTAATCAAGCTAGACATTTTAAAACCTCAGCGTCTAATTTAACTTGCATCCGACAGTTTTAAAAGACGTAGCAAAAGACCGCCGGGAGCGGGAGGCGGTGCGGCCCCTTCGCACCAGCAGCACCTCCGGCTCTGCCCGCCGGGTCTGCCCCGGCTTCCCTGTCTCGGTCAGACCTCCCGGTAGGCGGCTGCGGGCCGGACTGCGCTAGGAACAGCATTGCCAGCGGGCTGCGGGAGCTGACCCTGCCCCTCTCCTCAGCACTGCTGAGGACATAATCTGGAGCGCTGTGTTCTGCGCGCCTCAGGACAAAAAGAGATGTGGAGGTCTTAGGGCAGGTCCAGTTGAGGGGTGCAAAGAGGACTAAGAGACTAGGGCATATCTCTTCACATGGAAAAGCTGAGGGAATTGGGCGTCTTCAGCCAGGGGAAGAGACGACTGAAACGGAACCTCATCAGTGTGTCTCTCAAGGGAGAGTTTCAAGAGGACAGAGCCAAGCTCTGCTCGGTGCTGCCGATCAGCGGGGCAGAAACTCACGCACAGGAAGTTCCACCTCAAAATGAGGAAGAACTTCTTTACTGTGTGGGTGACCGAGCACTGGAACACATTTCCCAAAGAGGCTGTGGAGCTTCCCTCACTGGAGATATTCAGGAACCGCCTGGACGCAACCCTGTGCCGTGTGCTCTGGGATGCTCCCGTCTGAGCAGGGGGGTTGGACCAGATGACTCCAGCGCGGCTCCTCCCGAGCTGACCCGCTCCGGGCCCCTGTGTCTCTGTGCCTACATCTCCCGGCAGCGCCCGGGCGGCGCGCGGGAGGCCGGGCGGCGGCGGCGGCCGGGAAGGGCGGGCGGCGGCCGGGAAGGAAGGGCGGCGGGATGCGGCTGTCGGTGGCGGCCGCCATCTCGCACGGCCGCGTGTACCGGCGGCTCGGGCTCGGCCCGCGGAGCCGCCTGGACCTGCTGCGGAACCTGGTGACGGCGCTGGTGCGCCATGAGCGCATCGAGACGCCCTGGGCGCGGGCAGACGAGATGCGCGGCTACGCCGAGCGGGTGAGCGGCGGGGCAGGCCGGGCCGGGCCGGGCCGGGCCGGGCCGGGCCGGGGTTTAGCGCAGGGCTGGCGGGCGGCCGAGGGGCCCTGACCTGCCGCCTCCTTCCTCCCCGCAGCTCATCGACTACGCCAAGCGGGGGGACACGGACGAGCGCGCCATGCGCATGGCGAATTTCTGGCTGACGGTGAGTACCCCCCCCACACACACCCCCCGCCCTGCATTCCCAGCCCCGGATCCCTCTTGTTCATCGCGCCGCGGTGCCGGAGCTGAGTGTGCCGCCCCGCAGGAGAAGGACCTCATCCACAAGCTGTTCAAGGTGCTGGCGCCGCGGTTCCAGCCGCACCCCGGGAGCTACACGCGCCTGCTGCAGATCCCGAACCGGGACGCGCTGGACCGCGCTAAGATGGCGGTGATCGAGCTGAAGGGGAACCCGCTGCCGCCGCTCGTCCGCCCGCGCCGCGACTCCGAGAAGACGCTGCTCAACCAGCTGCTCAAGGGCTACCGGGAGGACCTGCACAGGGCGGCGGCCCCCCCGGGCACCCCTGTCTAGGGGTCCGCCGCCTGCCCCGAGGGGCTGTCCGGGAATGGAAGGTGTGTCGGCAGGGCTGGAGGTTGGTCGCTAACCTGAGGTTGCCCTGGCGAGCACGCACAGTTTACTTGCTTCTTCCCGTGGTTTGAATAGAGACTCGGCAAGAGGAGGAAATCAAGCTAGGAGCCCTGGTGGGTGATGTTCTCTGTGTAAATAAACTTTATTCAGAAAGTTCAGTTTGCTTCTGTTTGAGTTCTGTTTACAGAGTCAGTTAGGTTGGAAAAGACCTCTGAGTCCAACCTGTGACTGAATACCACCATGCCACCTAGACCATGGCACTAGATGCAATGTACAGCCTTTCCCTTAAACACCTCCAGGGACAGTGACCCCACCACCTCCCTGGGCAGCCCGTACCAATGTCTAATCACCCTTTCTGTGAAGAAATTCTTCCTAATGTCTCACCTAAACCTACCCTGGCACAGCTTAAATTCTTGTGCACGAGTGTTAAGTAACTTACCCCAGTAAATACTGGATTTATTACAGGTTCTGGTCCCACAGCCGTGTTCTGGGGCAGCATCTGCACTGTGACAGAGCTACATTGTTTCCTAGAAGCCAGTGTGCAGCATTTCAGGGCAGGAAGTTCAGTGAAAAATTAGATACTCTTGCTGTTTCAAAAAGTGCTGAATGCAAATAGGATTATAACACTGAGATAAGTCCTATAAAGAGACAGTAGCAAAGGAGTTGTTGCCATCTCTAACAAGACATCCCAGCTTCACGTGCAGGATTGCAGCAAGTCACTATTATCCAGTTAGAATAAAAAGAATAGCAGAACTTCTTCAGAGTGATTTAACTTCTAAAAATCTCTAGTTGTTAGCTTTCTCATTTGATTTCAAGCACAGCTTGTACGTGAAAGTCCTAGCTGTACCTTTGAAGTGAAAAAAAAAAAACCACCATAACCAACCCAAATGTGGTATCACAGAATAGAACACCAGGTTGGAAGGAACCTCAAGGATATCTGGTCCAACCTTTCCTGGTAAAACACAGTGGAACTGGTGTGGCTTCCTTCTGTTGCATTCCTTCCTCCCTCCCAGGCTTTACAAACTTAAGACATTTAAATGAGTGATGCCATGAAGCAAGTTAATTGTATGGAAAGACAAAAAGTTAAAGTTACGTATTCTCTGTTTTAGTGAACCCAGTGTGAAATTAAAGATGTGTGCTGCTTAAGGAAGAAGAAAAAGTCAAAATGTTAAAAGGTCAGTGTTCAGACAGGCCTAATCTTTGTCTCTAGTAACCTTGAAATTGCCCTCTTTGTAGAGAGATGAAGCAAACTGCTGTTGCTGCAGAGCTTCCATGTAGTTAAAAGTCCATGCTGAGGCTTTAACAAAATACTCTTGAATAATACATTGTCTATATTTATTCCTTAAGTTGGTCTTTCATCCCAGTAAACTGAACCCTAGCACATTACCAGCGATTGATGACTCAGGATGCTGACTGTAGCCCCTGGAGATTTTCCGTGTGCATCAGGAGCAGAGGTGCTGCCCAGGTTTTTCCCTGCAGGATTTCAAAGCAGTAAGACACTGCACACCATGCAGGCAAAGGCAAGAGCTGTTTCAGCTGCATAATCTCTTAGTATTCAGATTATAAATGTGAATGCTGCTTGGTAAGACAACTGTGGCCTCTACCACTGGCTGAAAATACAGTGTAATATCCATGGTACCGCCACCCAAAACACACATTTTGGTCACAGGAAGGACCCAGGAACATGAGCAGGTGGACATATACTTAGACAAATGAACATGAAAACACTGATTTAGGAAGATGGTTGAATAAAAACATTTAATGAGTGAAAGCAAATCAGGCTCTTGTCTGCTTGTCCTTAATAGAGTTTACAAAAGTGCAGAAAAGCTAGAAGCTAAATTGGGGAAAATTCTTGATACTTATTTTTTATACACAAATGCTTAGTGTGCGTACTTGTTTTTTGCAGTGTCTGTATGAACGTTAGGACAGCTGACAAAGCATTCATCATCTTGCAAGCACAGTGTGTAGTCCTTCTAAATGCAGTTCTGCTATATGCCCCTGAGCATTTTCTAAGGTTGTGTAGGCTTCTGCCATGACAGTGGTTGTCCTGCCAGTCTGTCTTGTACTCAGGTGCATCAGGCTTTCAGCTGCCTGCAGAGGAAAACAAAGGGGAAGGTCACTTTATAGGTGAAATCTGTTCATACAATTCCCTTGTGTCCTGGCTGCGAGAGTCAGGCCTTCTCTGTCACCCTTATAACCATACACAGGCCCATATGATCATTTTTATGTCCTGTCCCCCTCCTCTCAGCCTCTTCCACCTCTGGAAAAGAGGTGCCTACCTGACTGCAGCTGTGAGACTCCGATACCAGTCATTGATATCTTGTTGGTCGCTGGACATCAACAGCAGTGCCTTGTGTGGAAAGGAAAGCTGAAAGGCAAACAGAATCTGTGGCATTCCTTGCCTAGGCAGCAATTCTGACCAAAGGAGAGTCATCACTACTGAATTCAACTCAGCTCTGCATGCTGATTTTCACCATTTTCCTTCCCAGACTGAAAAATTTAGCTTTAGTGCTGGGAGGAGCCAGAGTCTAGACAGTACAGAGCAAGTGCCAGACTTGTCCATTCTTTCCAGCCACAGCTGACAGCTCACTCAGACTTAATAAGCTGTTTGGAGATGAGCAATCACAGTTTTTAGCAGCTCTTCATCCAGTTTTCTATCTTACTCCAAGCTGCCCCTCGGGGTCCTTCCACTACCACCATCTACAGGTCACAGATTGGCCGAAGTGTTCTTTGTCACAGCTCACAAGGAATGAGGTAACACAGCCCCAGGAGCTGCAACCTTGGAAAAACTGACTTTGAAACTTCTGCTGAGGACACTGGTCCCTGCCAAGGACCCTGCAGCGCTCAGGGAGTTTGATGCACAAGCAATATCTGTTGTGATAATACTCATGTCTTCCTCATTGTCGCTTTTTCTGTAAGTTCAGCCCCCAGTCAGTGTATTCATTGTCACATGTCTGGGGGGCTATCCCCCCAGATCTGTGGCTCTGATGAGGGTATGTCAAAGTCTTATTAGACCCTCCTCACCTGAGCTAAGTGAAGCAACCAGCAGCAACCTGTACCCCAGAGTGTGCAGGAGGGCCTACACCATGGAAGGATAAGGACCTACACCACTCAAAAAGAGAAGGGTTTCCCTGACTCAGACTAGTTCATTGCATTTTGTCACCAGGCTTGTCCTCTTAGGCCTGTGGCTGCTGAGGCAGTTGGAAACCTGCTTCCAAGTCTGACTCCACTGGCGCTTCTGCCAGGCAGAAGTAGGGAGACTTACACTGAGGAGCCCTCCCTGGCTCCGTGTGTGGCCAAACACTTTATCCACGGTGCACTGGTGGAGAGGGTACACAGCCTGGCACGCCAGTTTGTTCGAGTTCAGCGGGTGCAGGGGGTGGCAGGGCTTTGCTGCAATGAGGATATCAGAGAACAGGAAGAACATCCTGCGCTTCAGTTCGTCTCCCTTTGAAGGCACCACCAAAAGCCAGCCTTCCCGGATATACCAGCGCCCTGGGCATGCAAGGGAAACAGAGACAGTTGTCAGATCACGGCGGGGGCTTGGCGGAAAGAAGGATGTAATGAGACAAACAGGAATACGGTGTGAGCCACCCTTGCAGGTTACCGGGTTCTACATCAATTCCAGCCACTAGAAGGCACTGAAGTATCAACTGGGTCCAGCCCGCCAGCACGGAAAACACCCATACAAAACAGTAACCATCCCAAAAGGTTTAGGAGCAGGCTGAAGTTGTTGTAAATCTACTTTGTTAATTAAGAGGATATTATGATATGCAAGCCTCTTTAAAAAGAACAAAAGCATGGTTTTAAAATTGTATGTGTAGCTTTAAATTAAAATAAGCCTTCAGAAAACACACCATGAACGGTCTTTGTGTTGCCCTTTTCTTTATCATTAGTGGTGAAACAGAAGTTAGCCTAAGCTTTGAAAATGTAATATTTTGTTGTTTGCTTGTGTATGTCAATAAAATCAATAATAAAAAAAAAATAGGCCAAAAAAACCGAGCCCTCCATGTTTCACAGGTCACCTAGTTATATATAGACCTCCAGTAGTTAAGAGATTGGGGGATGCAGACTACTGTTCTACAGAGGAGACAGCAAATGAGATATAAAACAAGGAAGGTCTGAATAGGCAACCTTATCAGCCTCTCTTGCAGAACAGAGCCCTGTGTCATCCACCCATGAAATGAATTGCAATAAAAGTAAAGGAAGAGAAAGCAGCAGGAAAATAATCAAAACAATTTAATAAACCCAGCTGTAAGCAGCAATTAAAAAAATGGCATCCACACAAAATGGAACAATTAAAGCAGGACCTCTATCTAGGATTATTGTGCAAGATAGCCATCAGCTCCTGGTAATTATGAAGACACCTGCCAGTAACATTATTTGTAAAAATATAAAGCCGTAATTAGGTATTGCCACCTGGCCTTGGCTAGGAAACACCTGCCAGGGAATTTCAGCCACTTTTTTCATGCCTTAGCTTCTGCATGAGCTATTAAGTACCTTTTAGGAAAAAAAAAATCACAGGTTTGTTTTAATTATGGATTGTCTCTTACTTAGTATTCTGCAGTCACAAAACAAAGACGCAGGTGAATTCCTGCTTAGCTTACTTCACAGGAACCACTCCTCTTGTCTGAATTAGAAAGTGAGGAAGAGAAGGAATCAAGTGCAGGAATCAGTCAAAGTTTAAGAAATAAATGAAAGGAAGGGGTCAGCAGCATGGGACTGGACTGGGAACTGTTCCTCTCAGGCTAAGCTGTGATCAGACTCTCAGGCATACAATCTGTCCTGTACTGTACTGGAAATCTTGGATTATGGATCCATATTCAGGATTACCAGGGGCACAAGATTTAGGAAGTGCTTGTGAAAGGAGGGCAAGAAAATATCCCTGTGGAAGCTCAGAATGACAAAACAGAGTGCTAAGTTAAGGAGGCAGTTCTGGTTAATATGGTAGTTGCCCTAAATATGGAAGGCAGCAAGAAAAGCAGGGTCTCTTTACTGGGAGCACTACATCTCAGAGACACTGCCAGATGTGAGATAGCCAACTCCAAAGCTCCCACTTTCTCTGAATCTACAGCATTCTGGGTTTTTTTTCCCTCCTGGTGGCAGGTCACAACCTTAACAGTTCTGAAAAAAATAGCTTGTTTCTGGAAAGCTGACCCAAAACTAGGAAGTTCCAATTGCCTCCTACTTTTCTGCTTCACACATCCGGGAGTACCTGTGTAACTCCAGGTGATGGAAAACATGAGCATAAAAATTCTGTGTTCTAGGTAATGCAGAGGGCTCTACAGACCCTCAACACTTGTCTTGCTACATGTCTCAGAATATTCAAAGACCAAAAAACCCACGGATGAAACACTTTCAAAGAATGGCCATCTCTGGTCTAGCTGTACTGTTTTGGGTGTGGGGGTTTTTTGTGTGTGGTTTTTTTTTTTGAGGGGGGGGAGTGTTGTGGTTTGTTTGGTTTGGTTTTTTGTTGGGTTTTTTATTTGGTTGGTTGGTTTTGTTTGTTTGTGGTTTTTTTTAATGGGGTTATCTTATTAGTTGTGGTATTCAGGATAACTGATTTACCTTTTTACTTATGTACTACCCCAATGTGCCAAGGCCCCCCACCACACGCTCGTGCTCAGTGTAAGTAGAGCACACCTGTGAGCTCCCTTTCAGCTGGCACCATCAAAAGAATTGTAAGAACACAGAAGAGAATTTTAAATTTATCTGACCACTGATTAAGCACCTTCAAGAGTAACCTCTGATAAATAACCTTTGTCTGCCTTGCTGATTTGGCTGGTCTAGAGTTAATATTTTCATAGTAACTGGTATGGAGCTGGTTTTGATTTGCACTGAAAACAACATTAACAACACAGGGATCTTTATTGCTGTTTAAGCACTTCTCAGCATCAAGATCTTTCCTGCTCCTCACCCCACCAACAGGGAGGCTGGGGGTGCATGTGAAGCTGCAAAGGGACACAGTTGGGACAGCTGATCCCAACTTCCCAAAGGACATTCCATGTCATACGGCACCATGGTCAGCATATAAAGCTAGTGGAAGAAGGAGGAAGAGGGGTTGTTTGGTGCGATCCATTTGTCTTCCCAAGTAACCACTGTGCGTGTTGGGAGCCCAGCTTTCCCAGGAATAGCTGAACACCCGTCTGCCCATGGCAAGTGGTGCATGAATTGCTTGTTTTGTTTCGCTTGCATGAACAGTTTTTGCTTTACCTATTAAACTGACTTTATCTCAGCCCATGAGCTTTGTCAGTTTTACCCTTCTGAATCTCTCCCCCATCCCACTGTGGAATGTGGAAAGATCCACATGTAAGAATTACAAACACATTCACTGGTAGCTGGAGCTGCGCCTTAGAGACCTTCACACACAGTAACTTTAACACTCCTCTCCAGCTGCAGCACTGTGCCTGAATAACCTCTGCAGCAGCAGAGTTTAGTGAGGGTACAGGTGAAGCCCCAAGTGACCGTTTCGTAGTTGCCCTGATGGGGCACAGTTATCAGAATATTCCATACACAGCTTGGAGTGTGGTCTGGGCATAGAGTGTGCCCAGAAACACAAAAGGTCATAGAGACCTGTTACCCTATTAGATGTTCTTACTTGCCAATAACTGTGATTTTATATATCTCAGCTATCAGCAGAAATACGCTGATTTCTGGCACAGAAAAAAAAAATAAATAAAAGAAAATTCTTCGTATGAAGGGTGTGAGCAGAATTCCATGAATCTTATGGCTTAAGATAAACAACAACACAGTCCTTGAGCCCTTGACACTCAGAAATCTATGGTTCCTGCAATGGAGTAGGGACAATGCCACTACTTACACTCTTCCAAAATTATTTAGTGTCTGTCTTTCAGTCTCACCCAGGACTTAAAATCCTGGCTTCCTTGGGTTCGTAACTTTTTAAGTACGTGTCATCAGCTCCTCCTACCTGAATGTCAGGCAATTAAGCTGTTGCTTATCCTTACTCAAAAATGCTTAACTTTTTAAAAAATGCTTGAATTAGTAGTTGTATTCCTTTGCTACCTCTCTATGGAATTTGGGCAGAAGGGGAAAACTGCTTAGTATGAGTTGAGTCAGAGATGAAGGAGAGCATATCTTCACATATCTCAGCTTGGCAGAAGAAAAAAAGAGCTGTCAGTAAGACCCACCTGGAGTCAAAACCTGGGTCTTCTGTCCTTTGAGCAGTTTCTGAACCCGAAGCAGCTGCAATGAGTTCTCTCTTTTTTCAGTTATGCCTTGGACCCACTGAGATATCTCAGAAACAGATTTCACAGCCTCTGAAATTACAGCAGCATATTCTGAGATTATCACAAATGAGCATGTATTTCACCTTTGCTATCTTATTAGAAAAGACAATATGAAATTAAGAAGCAAAGTTTTAAACCAAATATCAACAACAGTTTTATTCAGGAATTTCAGCAGAAAGTTGGAGTAGGTTACCTCCAGATACCTCTCTCCAATCAACAATTCTGAAGTTCTAGAAAATATTTACCAAAGAAACAGTAGACAGAGGAATAACTTGGAAGCAGAAAAGGAAAAAGCCCTGCAAGTGGTGTTAACTGCTTGCAAATATCACAGAATCATTTAGGTCCTCTCAGATCATCAAGTCCCGCCTTTGACTGAACACCATTTTATCAACTAGAGCGTGGCACTAAGTGCCACATCCAGTCAGTTCTTGAACACTTACAGGGATGGTGACTCCACCACTTTCCTGGGCAGCCCATTCCGATGTTTAACAACCTTCTCCATAAAGAAATTCCTCCTGATGTCCAGCCTAAACCTCCCCTGGCACAGCTTAAGGCCATTTCCTCTTGTCCAGTCACTTGTTCCCAGGAGAAGAGGCCGACCCCCACCTGGCTACAATCTCCTTTCAGGTGGTTATAGAGAGTGATGAGGTCCCTCTTGAGCTTAAATACCCCCAGCTCCCTCAGCTGCTCCTCATATGACTTGTGCTCTAGAATCTTCCCAAAACTCTTGCTTTTTCCTTGGCACAATCCAGCACCTCAATGTGACTCCTGCAGTAGGGGACTTAAAACTGGGCACAAGAATCGAGGTGCAGCCTCACCAGTGCTGAGTACAGAGGGCCTTGACCCATTGATCCAGCCTGTACAGATCCCTCTGCAAAGCCTTCCTACCTTCCAGCAGATCAACACTCTGCCCAACCTGGTGTCACCTCTGAACTGATTGGGGGTGCACTTGATCCCCTCGTCCAGATTATAGATAAGACATTAAACAGGACTGGTCCCAGTACTGAGCCTTGGGGAACGCCACTAGTGATTGGATGTGGCATGAAGGACATGAATTACCCTAGAAAAGTGAGGCATGTGACCAAGAGACTCATAGAATGGTTTGGGTTAGAAGGCACCTTAAAGATCATCTCGTTCCAACCCATCTGCCATAGGCAGGGACACCTTTCACTAGACCAGGTTGCTCAGGGCTCCATCCAACCCGGCCTTGAACACTTCCTGGGATGGGACATCGACAAATTCCCAGGGCAGCATGTGCCGGTGCCTCACCACCATCAGAATAAAAAAAGAATTTAAAAAAAAAATTTTAAAATAGAGCTGCTAGTTGTCCATTTTGACCCTTAGGCCACTTTCACAGACAGTTACTCTACATTTTTATTCCCAATGTGTTCTCAGATTAGAATGGAGAAGAGAAATAGTAATCCACAAGAACCCCAGAGAGAGGAAGATTCTTCTTCTGTGGAAGCAAGCAGGAGGTGGGAATCCAAATATTGTTGGCATGGAGGCTATCAGTGACCAAAGCATCAGTATCTACAGGTGGAATCATACTTGCAAGTTTGAGGTGCTCAGCACTGTCTGGGCTGGTGTTCTCCAGCAGGTCTCTGAAGAAATGCTTGTACCTAAGTTGGAGAGAGCAGGTTTAATTCACAACAAGGTACCAGGAACATCAGCACCTCCTGTAAGTGACAGTGTGATGAAGAGGACTCCACCAGGAAATGGAGTACACACCTCTAAGCCTAACCAAGCAGTTTTGACCACACTTCAGTCACATTCATTTTATCATCAGTTTTATCCACTGAAGTAGCCCAAGTTTTTTACACATCTGCAAGCCTTTGGCTTTTCCTGGGGATCTGATAAAAACAACCTCACAAATTACTTAACTTCATGAGACTCTCAGCATTCGCATAAAAATGCCTTCAATACCAGACAAATTTCTCTTTGAACTATTTTTTTTTTAATCTGAATGGTGGCATTCATACTGTTTTTCCTGTCCACAAGAAAATAAAGGCATTTCTGTAAGAACTAGGATCTGCCTTTTTCTTCTTTTCCTCCCCAGTCTTTACTGGAAAGGATCAGATCTCTGCAAATTCTTTCTCTTTTCTCTTTTACTTTTCAGTAAAGTCAAACTATTTTTAATCTGAAGGAGAGAAGGAATTTAACAATTCACAAACTGGCGGAAGTCATATGACCTAGTGTGTATATGTTATGAGTGTTTTGAAGAAAATTGAACATGATGGAGCTGTTTAATGAAAAAAATTACACCTCTGTTAAAAAGCTAACACTTTTCCCAACAGCTGGACAGCAACAACTATACTGGTGTTTTACAAATTTAAGGGAAGTATCCAAAGCATTATAATGAAAAAAACACCAATCAGATTAATGTTTGTGGTTGAAAGCAGCTACTTGACCTATAGCTGCAGCAACAGCTGAGCTCCCAGAAAGCTAGCTGTGCTCTGTATTACCCAGACACCCTCCCCAAGAAAGGGTTGCCCATGAGCTCATGCAGCACTCTGCTCAAGCAGTCAGTTTGCCTCTTCAAAGGGGGAATGATCGTAGAATACCCTGAGTTGGAAGGGACCCAAAAGGACCATTAAGTCCAGCTCCTGGCTCTGTACAGGATAACCCTAAAAATCACACCACATGCACAAGTGCTGTCTGAATATTTCTTGAAACCTGGAAGGTTTGGTGCCTCAAAAGCAAATGCAGAAATCCAGGGTGTATCTGTCCGGGCTCAGACAGCTGCAATAGGCATTGAATCTGAGGAAAGCTCTGATAACCACAGAGGGAAGAAAAGCTCTCCTGTGTTCATTAATTTCACGCTTTCCAGAGGCAGTGATCTACAAGAGTCACAATGTCCCAGGTCAACAACCTGCACAAAAGCAGAGCCAGGCCACCTCTGGCAGAGGGTACCACTTCTGCAGCATTTCAGACAGCTTGTTCTTGTTCAGAGCTGAACTTCAGCAGCTTACTGAGGTGGCAGGAAGCCTCCAATTCCACCCAATAGCTACATGAAAAGATAGGAGCCAGGGCTAAACACAGCTTCTTCCCTGCATCATCTCTCATCCATACACACTGATTCCACTTTACAGGCACGTCTTCGGACCTGTTTCACTGCTGTCTATATGCTCTGATTTTGAGACACATTAAGCAACTTTACATCACATAGCAACCAAGACACTGTTGTGTTCCTCTTTCCTTCCTCATGCTAACCCCTTGAAAACTCACAATTGCTTACTTACTGGTGCAGCCTCTGCAAGGGTAAAGGAAGCAGATCCTCTAGCTCCCTCCCTTGAAACTGAGGTCGAGATTCCTGGAGTTTCTTAAACCGCCGGAATGACTTATTTTTCCTCAGTTGCTCCTGTGTGCAGCAGAAAAGGGATATAGCTTGAAGACTACAAAAAGAACTGTGTGCTCTAGCCTGCACCAGAGCTTGGAACTCTTCAACTTAGATTTCAAGACTCCAGTCCTAAATGCAAGCATCAACTTCTTTTATGGTCATGGGCAAGACATTCCCTTTCTCCTGACCATCATTTGCAGTGGTTAATGGAAGCAACATTATCCTTTCATACAGGCATAGCAGTACAAAGCTAGTACATGCAGCAAATGGAAATAAAGAAGAAAGGAAGGTTGAACCCAGTTAGGAAAACAAGGAGTGCACCTGTGGCTTTGTGCCACTCATTTCAAGACAAAGGAATGCAGCTCCACATTCCCATCACCTCAAGGCAAGTATCCAAAATGCCTTTTTCTCTTGGACAGTCAAAAGCGTGAACATATGCATGGAAATACAAGAGAAGGGAAATATCCCAGTGTATCCTGCATCTGGGAACATGCATGGGCAAAAACTGGAGGTGGAGAGGTTTAAATTCCAGATACAGCTGTCAGGACTTAGGAATAAAAATATATCCCTCTGAAATTTCTTGAAAACATGTTGTATTTGGAGACATAAGTGTCCCCCCAGAGAAATAAAATTCTTCCATAGAAAAGAAATTGTGAAGGAAAAGGAAATCCCATTGCTAAGGATACAGTTAGTGGTAGTGGGAAAGACTAGGAGACCTTACAATTCCCAGAAAGAGATCGCTGTACCCTAGTGAAAGCCTGGAAACTCTCTAGGCTTGCCAGACAAGAAGGAGTGGGAGTAAATACAGAACTCTGTTTGAGAAAGCTGTTCTCAGCATATGCATATACATACACAAACACCTGAAAAAAAGCATGAAAAATTTGAAGCACAAAGTAGACAAGTTTTCACCATTTTATTATGGAAGAAAGACTGAATATCATCAGCCTAGGAAAAGAGAGAAAAATGATCACTCCAGAAATAGAAGAATAAAGGAAGAATGTGGCTGTTTCACAGAACAGAAAAACGTAGAGAATAAGAAGAATAAAGTAGTTATTTACCTTCAAAGTTTTGTTTGCCTGTTCCAAATTCTCAGCATAGTGACCATAAAGATCCAGATTCTGGCAAAAACTTTCCAGTCCTGGCCCCAAATTCCCTCTCTCCAGGTGAAATGACAGAACACTGTGTACAAAGAGCAGAGATAGCCTGTGAGGGCTACATCACTGATGGCATTTTCAGAGCTCTCTCTGGTTTGTTCCTATGATGGCCTTCCTTTGTTGTTCTCCACCTCATATCCAGTTTCTGTCCCAAATATGTGCTTGGAGGTCACAGAGTAAGCCACAGAACACACCGTGGAGCAAACTTACTGCGTTTAAACCTCCATCTAGTAACTGGATATCGAGATACGTGACACAGATCAGCCGTTTCCTGGGTACATATTAAGCGTCAGGTGTTGGTAGGCTTTTGGGAAATAAAGCTTTCTCACCAATATAGAGTCTTCCCAGTACAATTACAGGAATTGCAACAGTGTGTCCACTTACTGGCTGGCCGAGTATATGGATTCCAGCGGTCCAAATACAGTTTCCAACACAGCAGGTTTCAGCGTCCCTTTGGCCTTTAAAATTGTCACAAAGTACTAAGAAGGAAAAAAAAGAGAGAATTTCAGACAGGTAGAATTTACAGATTATCAAAGAATTGGGTTGGAAAGGACCTTAAAGACCACCTCATTCCAACCCCCACTAGACATTTTCCACAAGACCAGGTTGCTTCAAGTCCCATCCAACGTGGCCCATCACTTCCAGGACTCGGGCATCCAAAACTTCTGTGAGCAACCTGTTCCATTACCTCACCACCCTCACAGCAAAAGAATTTCTTCCTAATATCTAATCTAAACCTACTGTCTTGCAGTTTAAAACCATTTCCCCTTGTCCTATCACTATACGGCTGTGTAAAAAGTCGCTCTCCCTCTCTTTTATAAGCCCCCTTTAAATACTGGAAAGCCACAAAGGTTATTAGCCTGTGTGGCATAGAGCAGAAGCCAGAAGTTGCAGCCTGCACCCTCTGGCTTATAAGGATATCAAATATTATGAATGTCTGCCTAAGACATCTATCGTCAGATGTAAGCCTGATTTGTATCTTTGACCATAACTATCAACACATGGAACAGTACTACAGTACTACTAAACAGACCTATAGAGGCTATTTCAGTATCCTTAGATGCATTTGTTTTTCACCATCTTGTCTATAATCTCTGTTTGTTTGTTTGTACATTTCATACATCTCAGGCATCTTAAGGCAAGTCCCCTATACAATCAAAATTTAAAGGTTTATGTCTGTGTACAGGCCAAAGCCAAAGGGCCAAACCCGCGAGCTATTGAATATTACAGAGGAGGGAAAATAAAAACAACAAAAAAAACCTTATGGCCCCAGCAGGTGTTCCAGGCACTAGGAGTATACCAAAGTCTTGCTCTTGACCCTTCCCCATGGCAATGCAAATAAGTATGTGCCTTCTGAAGATACCTACATAGCAGAAGGGGCAGAAATACTCACTGTGACCACCAAATCCAGCTGCTCGAGGTATTTGTGCTCAGTTTCCAGCAGCTCCTTGGCTGTCCGGCTGCGCTTTCTCTCCCAGCGAGCCCTCTGGTCTTCCACAGTGTTTGCTCCAGCAATATACAGCAGGGGTGAGTCACTCATGGCAGACCCAGGGCTGATATACAGAAAGGTGATGGATCCTGGAGAGCCAAGAGAGGTGGACACACAACAAAAGAATAACCTATGTCGCAGGGTAGGATTCTGAACTACAAACTCTAAGCTTTCCTATGAAAAAAGGGAAGTCAGTTGCCAGCAACGGTTATTAGCAGTTTCCTTCTGCATCCCAGGTGCGGTCACAGGAGCCCTGCATTGACTGGAGGAATGGAGGTTGGAAAGACCAGGCTGTGAAAGCAGGAGCAGTACATGGCTATATGTCTGTAGGCAAACAAACCACTGCTTACTCTGCTTAGCCCCCCAATTCTTCATGCAAAATTCCCATTAAACCCAAAGAAGTTGGTGGGTGGAAAAGGTACTGGGGATAGGAGTAGAAAACAGCCATGAGCTTTGTCTTGTGGGGGAAGGAGAAGGGAAGGAAAGCACTCTTGCTTGTTTTCCCACGGAGGTTACCAAGAAGCGAGTGGTTTGCATTGCCATTTGCTAACCGTAGTTTGTGCTTGCAGAGATGAGAGAGGCTGAGCAAGTGCTGTGAATCACACTACCCCCTCATTAACCTGCTTTGGTCCTGCTCTGCTGTTCTGCCAGAGCAGTGTGGTTTTGTTATATAAAACAGTCCCTCTTCCAGCCTACTCTCTCAGAGAAAAAGTCATGTTTTAGCAGAACACCAGTTAAATATTGCTCTTTTGATGAAAAAGCAGTGCAGCCCCTGACACACTTTTCCTGGCATTAGGTATACAGTTTCTCTGGAAGCTGAACTACCTCCACAAAAGTTCTGACTCCCACATGGACAGGATACACTAATACAGAAAGATGTGCCATCACAGAGAAGGAAATTTGTCAAACACAGTCTCCCAGAGACATTCCAGATATGTAAATCAATACCTGAAACAAGAATTTCACATCAAGTAAGTGACTCATTTAATGAGTTGGCAAAAGTCCAGGTAGCCGAGGGACATGTGCAGTATTTTATAGGAGGAGCTTCTCCAGGGCTTTATCCTCATATTCACTTGCAACACAATCACAAGGGTAACAAAGGCCACATCTTGATCAAACAGGACAGACCTGGCACCGCTATGGATGGAGAGGCAGCACTGCAGGGAATACCACACAAAGCTTAGCATTAGTTCCCTCCCTGGAAGTGTTCAAGGCTAGCTTGGATGGGGCTCTGAGAAACGTGGTTGAGTGGCGGGGGGTTTGGAATGAGCTGGTCTTTAAGGTCCCTTCCACCCCAAACCATTCTGTGAACTCTATCAAATGTGCAGTTGCGAAGTACTCACCAACAATGGACTAAAATGCTACCACTTGCAGAGCACCTTTAGCCAGGGCAGATTGCAGTCAAGATTTTCATTTTGCAGACCAATTTCTTTTAACAAACAAACAATTAAAAAAAAAAAGTTACACCAGGTTTGACCATCTCCTGCTCACATAAAGCAGTTCAAACACTCCCATTATTCCACAATGTATATACTATAACTGTGCCAGGTCTGTAGGGTAAGAGCTGCCTGGACCCCATGGGTACACTAGAGAACACTTCCCCTATGGGGGACAGAAACACTCCCTCTTGCTTCTCCTGTCTCATATTCAGAAACCAGTAACTAAATGCCATTAATTAAACACATTCTGTTACCACTAACTACCTTATGACACCCCATTATAAATATTCCCTTCAACGTTTCTAAATTTTCTGAGTATCCTCAAAAAATCTCCCATTTTTATCACTGCACAGCCACTGTTGGTGTGTCAGGAGTGTAGCCACTTGGTGGGTCAGCTCCAGGGGCCACTCAGGCCCACATCCCATCCCATGGGTGGTGGCTGTCATGGAATAGGCCTTAGGGTTAGGGCTGCTCTTATCGGGAAGGGTGCAAAGCCAGAGACCACAGTCAGCCCTCAGCCACCCTGAGGAGTAAAGATACCAGGAGTAAATACTGCAGTAAATTATTACAGTAAATGTTGCAGTAAATATTGGAGGAACAAACATAGCAGGTAAACTATGCACTAGCTTTCCTTCAATTTCCCTGCAGTGTAGGTTATTAATAGTGTATTTTGGATTAGTCAAAACCAAAGGTACTATATTTTGCAGGAGATGAGAAAAGATCCACCAAAAGACTTGTGGATTGTACAGAATGTTTTTGTTGTCCAAAAATTAAGCATTTTATTCATTACTGGGTTTTTTGGGTTTTTTTTAACCAGATAAAATATGTTTTAACCAGATAAAATACGTTTTAGAGAAATAAACGTTTTCACTAAAAAAAGAATGTGAGCATGTTGAAAAACATTAACCAAAAGTTAATTTTTTTTAACTAAAAGTAAATTTCTTTTTCCTCTGAGCGTGACACGGATTCAGGAAATACTTGGCTGGGGTCAGTGACGAATTTAGCCAAAGGAATCTTTAGCGGGGGAGGGGGTCATCCCATTGAGCCTTGTGCTCAGAGCGGGGCTGCCATCAAAGTCAGGCTGAGCTGCTCAGGGCCTCATCCTGCCCAGCACCTTTACACGGGTGGAGATCGCGCCAGCCTCACGGTATCCCGGTATTCCGCCGCCCCCGCCGCCCCCGCCGCCCGTTACCTGCCGGTCCCGCCGCCCCGCGTTCAAACCGCGGCCCCGCCCCGGCGGGCGGTCCCGGGGCGGAGCGCGGCGGGGCCGGGCTGGGCGGGCCGGGGAGGGAAGGGAAGGGAAGAAAGTGTTGGAGTGGCGTGGACGGTCGGCGGCTCCGGGAGCAGTGATGGTGTCGCTGGGGGACCAGTGCCCTCCGTCGGGCAGGGCCGGGGACCTGGCGGCGCTCTCGGAGCTGGACGAGGCGGCGCTGCTGTCCGGGCTGCGGGAGCGCTTCCTCAGCCAGCACATCTACGTGAGTGCCGCGCTGCGGGGCGGGGGGCGGCGGCGGGCTCCCGGCTGACCGGCTCTCCTCCCCTCCCACAGACCGACGTCGGGGACATCCTCGTCGCCGTGAACCCCTTCCAGCCGCTGCCGCTGTACGGCAGAGAGGTGAGTGCCGCGCCCCCCGCCGCGCCCCGCCGCCCCCCGGCCGCTCACGCCTCTCCGCCGCCGCTTCCCCGCAGGTCTCCGAGCGGTACCAGGGGCTCCAGACCGACTCGCTGCCGCCCCACATCTTCGCCGTGGCCGGCCGCGCCTACCACGCCATGCTGGGCCGGCGGGGCGGCGGGCCCCGCAACCAGTGCATCCTCGTCAGGTGAGGGGCGGCCGGGGGTCCCCGGGGGCGGGCAGCGGTGGGAGGCCGGGTGGCGACCCCCGGGCTCTCGCTGGGATCTGTCCGCCGAAGTTTCAGGTGAAGCTCATCTCCAGTGCTGTTGGTGAGTCAAAATCTGTCTGCGCTGGCAGCGCATCCCTCATCGCGACCGCTTTCCGAGTCGCGGCAGAGGTGTGTGACAAACAAAGCTGGCTTTCCTGGAGCAGCTCGGCCAGCGATGCTGGGCACGACGCTGAATATGTCAGGTTTGCTTCTGGAGGGACCTGCCTTTGGGAAGATTTACCCAGCTCCGGGTCAAGTCACAGAGTGCTCTCCTCTTGCAACGCAACTTGCTCAGTAAATGCTGTATAAAGGTTATACGTAGTGGAAGGAACCTGTTTTCACAGAGTGGAGCTTCCCATATATCATCAAAGAGCAGGAGGAATTAAATATGCTTTTTTGCTCCCTGACTGTTGGGGAGAATCCTATTGTCATGGGCAGTTCCATGTGCTAGAAGTGAGGGGGAAAAAAGTTTTAACCAAAGAGTGTTTCAGTATCATGAACATTTCACTCCATGATGTCACATGTTCTGCTGAAACTCTGCAGGGCAGCAGCTAGCAGAGAAAGTCCCAAACAGCGAACAGAAAGGCTCAAAGCACAAACTGTCTCTCCTAGGTGTTGTAGAGAACACGACATCTGAGTTAAAATGTTAATTGTGTGTTTGATTTAATATTCCCTTTTTTTTATACGGGCCTTCTGAACATTTTGTTAGTACTTTCAGTCTACATAGTGTGGAAATTAATTGCTGAATCACTACTGAGTGTTTGGATGGGACTGGGAGCTGACCTTGAGTATCACTTGAGCCTCCCTCATTTCTGTAGCCTGCAGGGCATCAGTGCCTTTGCTTGATATGAATTGCTCTCAGGAAGTGGTGGCTGTGGAGTCAGCATGTGCAAGAGGCACTGCTGGTAGGGCTCTTGGGGATGAAGAACAGTCATCATATTTGCCTTGGGATGTGCAAGATGAGAACCTGTGAGCATTTGCCAAGAGGTTGTTGCTCTGATTGTTTTATGCCAGCAGTTTGTGGTCTTAGAGATGAGTCTGATGTATTCTTGTGCATCTTGCAACCCTGTCAAATGGTGTGTGTGTTGCTGTCATAGGAAGTTCATGGTTTTGCTATCAGTGGTGAAACACTCGTTAATCAGATTACCTGACCTGAGCAAAGTTGGGGCAGAGGTGAAGGAGGAGGAGGAGGTCACTCCTCCTAGACCACAGTTCATCAAAACAGCACAAGGACACACCAGGCTCTACTGTTCTTTGTAGTCTCTTTAGGGTCTCCAGCTTAGTATGGGAGGTCTGCATGGCATGTTTCAGAGTTTGATGTTAGACAAAGCAGCTGCCCCCACATGACAAGTATTCATAGCTACCATGTTGTCCTGATCTGGAAATTCTACTGGCTCCTCTTGCCTTCCCAATCCCAATGGACATTAGTCATAGCCTCAGCATGCTGTAGTACACCGCTTGGGTCACCTGAAGATGACTTTGCTTTTCTTCACAGCCTGGAGCAGTTGCACACCTGCAGCTTAATAGTGCTTGCAGGCCCTGCTGAAGCTGCTGTGCTTGTTGGACAGTCCACGGACAAGCTTGAACCTTGGGAGTGCTGACTGATAGTTCTCTTGTGGAGGAAGTTACTGAAAACAAAAATAAATCTGGCATACTGAGCAGAGGCATTGTCTGGATGGCATGTTCTCAACTGGCAAAATGGCCTTACTTTGTGCTTATTGGATGGTACTGGTCTGATCTGTGCTTGAGATCAAACATGTACTGTAGTATTTGAGGTTTTCAGCCTACCTGTGACACGTACTTGATCCCAAGCACAGATCCACTGGGAGTTACAAAGCAGTAAAGCCATGCCACAAGCTCAAAGGTCGGCCGTGGAGATGGAGACCTGCCCTCAAGGATACCTCCAGCATTTCCTGCATTCATTTCTTTTCACCATGCATATGCTGAAGTTCTCAGCTGGTGTGTTGTTATCAGTCAGGGACACGTTGTCTCACTGATCATATATTCCCCATCTCAGGACAGGGCAAACTGCTCTTTCCAAGTGCTGATTGTTTGACTTGGAGGCGGAGGCACCGTGGATGTGTGTCAGCAGGGTGACGTTGCAGGGTGACGTGCAGTGCTGTGCTGTGGGGGTACAGGCAGCTCTGTGCCTGTCTGCCTGTGTTGTCAGCCAGCTGAGTCACGTGGATGTGTGAAGCAGCTGAGATTGGAGACTGCCACAGTATCTCAAGATCAGTATTCAGTTGTGGATGTGATACGGATAGGGCAAATAACTTTGAAGAAAGAGGAAGCTGTTGACTTCATCTCAGGTGAGGGAGTTGATGTATCAGATGACTTTTGAAGGAAGTTGTTTTCCAGAAGATAAATTCAGCTTTCTTAAGAAGCAGAGCAAATGGTCTGTTTCGTGTATCCCATCCAGAAATGACAACAAGGGGTATATCTGTACTCCCTTGCAGATGCAGGAAAATTCCCCTGGGGAGAAGGAATCAGGACCTCGTGGACACCCTGTGTAAAGCTGCGGGGTGTGGGTTGTACTCACACTTGCAGTTTTGCTGAAAAAGTTTGAAACTTTTGGAGAGTGCTCTCTGCTACAGAGACGCAGTAGCACTGAGGACACTTAGGCCATAAGGGGCAGAACAACTATACTTTCCAGCTGCTGGAATTTCTTCTACTTTCTCTTGGCAGTGGAGAGAGTGGTGCAGGGAAGACAGAGAGTGCAAAGCTATTGTTGCAGCAGATAATGAACCTGTGCAAAGGCAACTCGCAGCTGGAGCAGCAGATCCTTCAGGTAGGTCATTACAGGAATGTGCTTGAACATGGAGAAGCAGCACTGCTGCAAGACAACTTAGGAAGGCTTAGGAAGCCTGCTGATTAATCATCGCGGGAAATCAGGGAACGATACACAAGACACATAAGAAAATAGTACATAAAAATGGTGAAATAGCTGATGACAAATTGGAAAGGTCAGTAATTCTGTTTGCTGGTGATGTTTCTTAAATTATAGACAACTATTGCAATAATTTATCATGCTTTCTCTTATAAGGGATTAGTAACATTTTTCAAAATAATTTCCTGTTTGAGGTAGAACAAGGAATTTCATTGGAAAAATGGTACACAGGGATGGAGAATCCACACAGCCTTCAGTAACCTCTCCTTGGCTACTTATACTGTCAGGCCTATACCTGCTAACTGGCTAACTGCCATCTTTACTCTTTTTATATACCTTTGCTAATTCTTTTTGAAACATATTTGTCTCTTTGGTCTGACGAATTGAACTGAATTTCTCCAGCAGCGCAGGCAGACAGGGAATGGGGGTTGTGCTCTGTATCTGTGCTACTGTCTTCCTCTGCATGCTCATCCCCTGCTCCAACATGGGGTTCCTCCTACGAACAACAGTCTTTCAGGAACAGGCTGTTCTAGCACAGGTCCCCCACAGGGTCACAAGTCCTACCAGCAAAGCTGCCCCAGTGTGAGCTCCTCTCTCTACAGGCCACAGGTCCTGGCTGGAGTCTGCTCTAGCATGGGCTTCCCATGGGGTCACAGCCTCCTTCAGATATCCATCTACTCTGGTGTGGGGTCCTCCATGGGCTGTAGGTGGATCTCTGCTCCCCCCTGGACCTCCACGAGCTGCAGGGACACAGCTGCCTCACCATGCTCTGCACCATGGGCTGTGGGGGAATCTCTGCTCCAGCACCCAGAGCATCTCTTCCTTCTTCTCTTTCACTGACCTTGGTGCCTGCAGAGCTGTTCCTCTCATATATTCTCACTCCTCTCTTCCAGTTGTAGTTTTTATCTCTGAGGTGCTACCACTATTGCTGGTGGGCTCAGCCTTGGCCAGTGGCAGGTCTGTCTTGGAGCCAGCTGGTATTGGCTCTCTTGGATGTGGGCAAACTGTCTAGCATCTTCTCACAGAAGCCACCCTTTAGCCCCTCCTGCTACCAAAATATTGACATGTAAACCCAGTACCTCATGCCATGCTTTGGGCTCTGGAATGGCATATTAATTTCAGCGCAGCATCATCCATGGTGGATCCAAGGTGAATGCTTGTGCTCTTTTGTGAGAATGTGACATTGATACACCTGCTGTCTCTGATTAGAGCTGGCTTGAGCCACACTGCCAGGCTGCTCCTGACCTGAGCAGGTTCCAGAAGCAGGATAGCTGTGTTTGCTCAGCATAGGGCCTGGAGCCAGCCTGCAATTCCTCCATTGGAAATACTCCCTTCAGCCCAAATGAGCTGCCCTTGGAAAGCCTGGAGGGGATGATGAAGAAATAATATGCATCTTACTTGGTTCCTGTAGATACATCCAAGGACTAAGTTAGCCCTTTGGGATGTCATGTCTTAAGGCTGTGTTCAACAGGCTGCCCAGCATGTACCCTGAGGCATCATTCTTGCAGCTGATAGGCATTCTTTGCTCAAATACAGAAAAATTATCATTTCACCTTCTTTGCATACAGTTCAGCAAGCTGGTCTGGTTGTTCTCTTATTTTCTTTATAATTCATTGTCCTTGTATCTAAAAGTTTCATTAGCTAAGCTGTCACACTTACATTAACTGAGTGCCACATTGACCTTTTCTACTGTGCAGTGTAGCAGTCAAATTATCTAGTGCTACTATGTCAGATACTGTGTAGAAATTTGTTAGACCAACCTTATCTTTTAACAAGACCCAGTCAGTTTGATTGTGCTTATTTTTGTTAATTTCATGCTGCTTAATCTCTGTTATATTTGCCGCTTTAAATTCCTTTATCCAGGCTGTGATAAAATAGGTGCTCTTCCATATTAATGAAATAGTTCCTTTTCCAGCTAAGTGCTGAATAGCAAATGCTAAAGTTAAACTTTTCTAAGCAAGTTAGATTGGATTGCTTAATTTGATCGCTTAATTTGTTCTGCTTCCTTGCTTGTTTTAGGTGAATCCATTGCTGGAAGCTTTTGGCAATGCCCAGACTGTGATGAATGACAACAGCAGCCGCTTTGGAAAATACATACAGCTGCGTTTCCAGAAAAATACAGGTAAAATCAGGGGCAGTTACTGGTTTGGGGAGTGGTTAGGAACTGGAGGGAGTGGACTGAGTAGCGAAAGCTTGTGGAGGGTAAAATTTTGGCACCTGACTCACTCTGGGAAGGGTATGCAATTAAGTAAAATCTTACAGCAACCCCTCTTGGATAGGACCTGGGTAGGATAAGGCCTGGGTTTGGACAGAGTTGGAGTACAGGAAGGATAAAGGGGTGACAGTGCAGGCTAAGTATCAGTAATACTTTATGGTGTCAGAAGCCTTTGTTGCTGCTAAAGGAGGTAGCAGAACCTCTAAGATCACAGGAAGTGTGGAGAAGTCCCTTTCCAGTGTGCTGGGCACCAGAACCCTAACTCTTCTCACCAAAGAAGAGATGTGGGACAGCTCAAGCAGCTTCATGTCCCCCGGTTCACCACCCTGTCACCTTTTTGTGTGCAGTGCGAGGTGCAAAGCTGAGTGAGTACCTGTTAGAGAAGTCACGGGTGGTGCATCAAGATGCTGGGGAGAGGAATTTCCATATCTTCTACTACATGTTTGCTGGACTGTCTTCAGAGGAGAAGGAGATGTATGGGTTACTGGATCCTTCACTCTACAGGTACTTCAAAGGCAGACCGCAGTTTAGTCTTTATGATGTGTGGTGAAGGGGAACATAGCATAATAGAGACTGTGCCTCTGCCCTGGGGCTTTGTCTGTGAATGAATGGTAGCTGGAGTGGGATCTAAATGGAGCTACGTGAAGACATCTTATGGGTCATAATGGAAGTTGGGAGGTCTGGGGTCTCTGCTGTATTACCTTGGAAAAGTTTCTTTCCCCTTTGAGTTTCCCCTGCTGCTGATGTGCTGTATTCCCCTGGGGTAGGACTGACTCACAGTACTGACTGGGTGACAGTTTTGTGTGGGATATGCGCTTTCTCAGGTACGTAAGTGGACAGTTTGGTACTCAGGATGTAGCTCAGCGCTGGAAGGACAAATACCAAGAGGTGTGCAATGCCCTTGACATGGTGGGATTCCAAGAACAGGTCAGTTCTGGAGTTGTTCATTTTCCATCTGTGCTTCCTGCAGGCATAGGGTTTCTTTCTAGCTGTTCTTCTGAAGCTCAGTCCTGTTTCTTTCCTCTAGATTTTCCATGTTACTTCCAGACCACCCGAGTCTTCTAGTCCTTGTGTAGAGCCTTTATCCACAGGTCGTCTGTGCCTCTTCCCTTAACCTCTTCAACTTCTGGGGCCTCCATGTTGTACATGTTACCTGTTGGTAGGTTTTCAGTCACCTTTCTTTTGTGTTTTAGGAGCAAGTGGACATGCAGGCTATCCTGGCTGGTGTGTTGTCTCTGGGCAATGTGACTTTTGATCCTGAGGAGAGCAATGGGCCTGTAAAAGTCAGTGAAGCCTCCCAGGGATGGCTGAAAGCTGCAGCGGTGAGTCACAAGAAGAGTTGACAAAAACCTTATGGATGTGATTCTGCTCCCACTGGCAGTGTGACTGCAGGAGCTACTCCTGCCAGAAATGGCAGAGGGTGTTTCTGCCATTAAAGAACAAGGAATTTTTTCCCAGAAGTGCAAAGTATGACCCCATGACTGCGTTTGTGTTCACTGCTGTTCATTGCCAAAGAGTTGCTTTCCAGCTTCTGGTTCTTGTGTGCCTAGAACCAGTGTCTTACATAGTCAGCATGTGCCTTGTTGGCTTCATACAGTACAAGCTTTCTAAAACTAAATGTTATGTGTTACTAAGTGTGATGATGCCTCAGAGAAATGCAGGTGTGCAGTATCTCTACATGAGTTCTGTGTTTTCATTGGATCTTGTCCAAGGATACCACATTGACTGCTATAATTTTTTATTGGTTATCCATAATCAAACTTTCTATTACTTCACATCGTATTATCACAGATTAAGAAGTATGTATTTCCCAGGACCATCCCATTTTTATTGTATGGGATGAATACATTATCCTGCTCTGTTAACACAGAACAGTAAAATGTAACATATTTCTCCCACTTCTATGTCTTTTCATTTTGACCTATTTATATATCCCTGCACTCTTGGTCTTTGGTTTCACTCGCATCTCCTTGCCTGTTTCCCTCCTACACCATACCTGAAACAACCACCTGTGTCTTTTCAGCAGCCAACTTCTTTTTATCTTACTTCTGAAATTCTGCTCCTGGTTTTTTGCCCACAGGAGGGGAATTCCTGTTAAATCACTGAGGGGTTCAGTGTGTCTGAGTTCCCTTTGTTTCCTGCCTCTCGTGGGTTCATGTGACTCTGAGCTGAAGCTCAGATGCTTCAGCACCTGCACAGTCACCTGCATGTGGTGCTGTTCAATAGGTCATTAAACCCCTCAGCAGGCACTGACATGGCTCCCAATGAAGGTGAAAGGTGGTGGCGTTGGGAGAGCAACACAAAAGTGTTTCAGAGAGTGGGGGTGAGCTTGGTCACTGCAGGGATAACGCAGATCTCGGAGCCCACATCTGACCCTGGTGCTGTGAGATGCCAACAGTAACACTTACCTTACGGTGGGGCTGAGCCTGAATCATGATCCCATCAACACACAGACAAATACAAACCCCACAAATTCAGTAAGGGTTTACAATCGACTCTCCTCATCTATTTCCTCTTTCCCAGGGCCAGTTTGGAGTCCAGGAAGATGAACTGTTAAAATGCCTTATTTGTACGATGTCAGTGACCCGAGGGGAGCAGATCCAGCGTTTTCACACCCAGCAGCAGGCAGAAGGTAGGAAACATAACGAATTGCAGATGTGCTGGATAGAAGGACTGACCCGTACTTTTTGGAAGGGCATCCCCACACATGTGCAACTTGTTGGGAACAAAGATGTCCTTCTGTGCCCTTTCATTCCTCTCGCACAGAGGCAAGTGTATTGATGTTTGTACGTTTAGTCCCTTGCTCACACGTAAGACCATGAATGCTGCTTTTGTTTGATCTCCAGGAGGCTGCAGAGGTTAAATGAGAAACTAAGGAATTAGCTTTGCTTTCTTCCTCAGTCCAGACTAGAAGGGAACTCTAGGTATTTGTACAAGAGAGGGGAAGGTTCCTGTTGCAGAGTGCTGTCAGTGTGCAGAACTCTAAGCAGTAGATGGACAAACAACCTTGAGAATCAATGAGATATGACAGTATCAGGAACAGAGTGAGAAGACAACAGAGTATGGTGAAGTAAGCAAGCACAAGGTGTTCTTTTCCCCTTCAATAAAACAAGAAAATAATCCAAGATAATCTGGACCAAAATGTTCAGATAAAATAAAATATTTTAAAAATTAAGTAAAAAAGCAGGAAGTCCCAGAACTTCTAGATTACTGCTAAAAACACATGAAAGATAAAAATGAAAATGGGGAATTAGTTAGTTCTGTTTTCCAAATTTTCTCTAGGCAATAAAATGCACATCTCCATCATGAAATAGATCACATTGATTTGGTCTCCTTCTTAGAATGTCAGCAAGTTTTCCATCATTTGTATCCCCCTGTTTCCCACAGCATTTAAACACTTGACAACTGTGAGCTAGAAGGAAGAGGACCATTCAGTTTGCCAAGTATAATTTGGAGCTTCTTCCTTGGTTTAGGAGTGAGGGACTCCATCCTTAGTAGATCTTCAGAGGGGAAAGCAAGTATTTGCATATTCTGGAAAGTGGCATGAGTCTTTTGGAAAGGAAATTTTCCATTTTAGATGATCTCACAAATGCCTTAATATGCCACATCTGATCTTGTAAAAAGATTGTGAAGATTTTGGAATTAAAGAGCTCTTTTTGTGCTTACAGAAGGCAGGGGCAATCAGACAGATATCATTTGTTTATCTGGTTATTAAAATAGCTTCGTAAGCTACTAGACATTGTTGCTAGAGGTGGATGCACTTAGCCAGTTTGTGTGCTGTGTTCCCTGCTCTCCTGTGAGCCCTTTGGTGAGCTGCTGTTGTTCTCCCTGTGCAGATGCCCGGGACTCCATTGCTAAGATGGTGTACGGCCGAGTGTTTGGCTGGATCGTTGGCAAGATCAATGAGCTGCTGGCTGAGAACGTGGATCCTGAGGTGGAGCTGAGGGAGATAGGTGAGTTCTACCTGCCCTGCTCCTGTTCTGTTCTCAAATGTGCCTGCCTCAGCCACAGTGAAGGACGGGCACAGCATGAGGTTTCACAGAGATTGTGTACAGGGATCCATTATCAAAAGCATGATCCTGGAGAGATGTGTGTCGGCAGCACGAAGTTTTGAGCAGGCAGTTGATCTGAAGCAACTGTGAGGCTGTAGTTCTGGGGCACTCTGGCTTAGCAGAGAAGCTGAGGGCTGGAGTGGATCTCCTGCTAAGTGACTTTTCAAGGGGAGTTACGGAAGACTGTTTCTTTTGGCTGGGTCTTCCCTCTGCCACAAGAGCTGGATGATGTGAGATTTAGTCATGTGTTGGTGTACACAGCAATCTGCAAGAACAGTCTGCAGGCTCCATTATGTGTTCTTCCCCCTTTTAGGCATCTTGGATATCTTTGGGTTTGAAAACTTTGCAGTGAACCGTTTTGAACAGCTTTGCATAAACTTGGCCAATGAGCAGCTGCAGCACTTCTTCAACCACGTAAGTCTCCCCGAGGGTGATCTCACCTTGGGTAGCAGAGAAAGCAGAGCACTGCTCTCCCTAGAACACGAAGGAGAGCTTGGGGAAAAACAGACCTATTGCTTGCCAGGACAGAAATAGCCATCAGTGAAGCAGGATAGAGATCAGCAACCTTCTCTGCTGTGGCAGGGGAACCACTAGGATAGGGAAGGAAGAAGTAGAAGGATCAAGCAGTGACCAAAGTTGTTCTGAGAAGTGTTTTTGCTTTATGCAGCAGCACCAGTGAGTGATAGGCTTATTGAGGCCCACACAGAAGAGCAGTTTCACCTTGAACCTCTCATGCCATGGGTCAGAGCACCATGCCTCTGTGCTCTGTTCAGGGCAGGAAGGAAGATGTTCAGGGCTGTCTAGCCAAGTTTGATGGGTCATCCAACCTCTTTTTATTTTATTTCAGCACATTTTCCATATTGAGCAGGCTGCCTATAAGGAAGAAGGGCTGCCTTGGGAGACTATCACATTCAGCAATAATGAACCTGTTCTGGTGAGTGAGAGGACTGACAGAATACAATTGCTCTGTCCAGCCAAGAGAGAAGTCTTGCATCATGGGGAGGAGATGCACCTGGGAAGGACCTCTTCAAAGGGTGGTGAGGGTGAGAGTGGATGCCCTGTACTGCTTTAGGTATGTGTCATGTGTCTCCTTTCCTGCAGAATCTGTTCCTGGCCAAGCCACTTGGGCTTCTGTCTCTTCTGGATGAGCAGAGTGCATTCCCTCAGGTATGCGTGGATAGGAGGAAGAGAAAATATCGTGGGGGGATGTAGCAATGAATATCCAAGCTGCAGAGAGAGCTCTTAGGTTGGAGTGCACTTTAAAGAGCAAAATGAACAGACGTGTCCCTGTGTGTGACTGATGAGACAGGACGTCGAGACTGGGGACAGTCTAATGGTATTGGCATCCCTGTGAGGAATCAGAAGGTACATCAGAAGACTGTTACACAGCCAAGGACACTTCCAGCACTTTGTTTTGCTTCTCTGTGGCCTGATGAGATCTCTGTTGCAGCCTGATTCTTTGATTATGAAATCTGCTCTCTTGCAGGCAACTGATAAGACCTTTGTGGATAAACTAAACAGCAGCTTCAAAAGCAATGTACACTTCCAGGCAGCCCGAGGCCATGTTTTGGGCTTCAGCATCACTCACTATGCTGGGAAAGTATGTACTGTTTGCAAGAAGAATGCTGTTGTAGTGTATGTTGGAGGGGAAGAAAGTGTTGCCTGACAAAAAAGGTTTTGATGTTGAGGAGTGTATGGTCTGACAATGATAATAACAGAAGTGATGAGTTCCCACGACTTGCCTCCTACATTCCATGGGATTTCCGTAGGAAGAGAGGACCCCTGAGGAAAGTGGGGCGACCTCTAGGAAGTGTAGGGTGTTAGAAATCATTCTGCTAGAACTCTAGTCCTAAAACAGTACTTTATAAAGTACTTTATAGATGCACAGTCTAGTGTGCACTTCTAAAGGACAGGATAAAGGCCGTTCCTTTACTTATTGGTTTCCACAGCATAGCACTGACTATTTTATTGCAAACACTTAGGAACGCTGTGCAAACACCGAGGTAATTAATGTTTTGAAAGTGGAGGCAGTTATTTATACATTCAATGGTATCTAAGCAGCTTGGGATTTAGTACTATTGCATGTAACTTTACTGCCACCAATTTTGAAAGCTTTGGTCCAAGTAAGTTGTTTTGATTGGAGATAATTTTTGGAACAGGAGCAGATATGACAATTCAGGTAATTGCAATATGTAGTTTAGTAATCTAATCTCACCACTGTTGACTAAGCTATTGTTTGTGATGTTCATTATTACAAAAATTAACATTTAACATGGAAAGGAGAGAGTGGCACGCTAGAGATGAGAAAGGGAGGGAGCAATGTAAAGAACGGGATGCATGAAAACAGGGTGGAAGTCTATTCAAAGGGAAGAAGGGGAGAGCAAGAAGAGTGAAGCGAACCCAAAAGTAAACGAAACTTTATAATCAAGGAAAGGAGAGCAGGCAAAGGTAGATGTCTCAGTGTTATGCTGCACTCCTGTGGTTCTGACGCCTCTGCCATCTGCAGGGATTTGTTCCTCAGGATTGGCATCTGGATGGGGTGCATATGTGTTTACAGAGTTCGTGTGCAAAACAGAGTACATTCAGTTCAATGCTTGCTCCTGGCGAGCTGTAGGAGTGGCTTTCACTGCTTTCTTTAGTGATTTGGTGCCCTTTCCTCAGGTACAATATGCTGCCAGGGGCTTTCTAGAGAAGAACAGAGACACCTTGCCAGCCAACGTTCGTGGGCTCTTCATCAGCAGCGTCACCCCCTTGCTCAGTGTGCTGTTCACAGGCAAGTCCCTCTGCACACCCATCATGAACCAAGGCCCACCTTGGCAAGAGTTCAGTGTGGGGATGAGGCTCATGTGCTAAGAGTGTGTTTCACAGCTGGCAGCCCTTGGGAGACCCTGGGAATGCTGCAGCTTGGAGTGGGCTGTGGGCATATACTGAGCTATTGGAGTTGTTTATTCCCCCTGCATGGAAAGCAGGGCAGGTTGTATCCTCTTCCAGAGAATTAGTCACTGCTAAGATGCCTTCCTGTCTTCTCCAGGGCCTGTGCAGAACTGTCACCACTGGCCTTTTCCATTGGCTTTGTTCTTGTCTAGAAATGAAGCTGGTCAAGGTCATAGCTTGTGCCTGTTCACACTGAAAATGGAGTCTTGTAAAACCCCAGGCAATGAGTGTAAAGATTATTCCTTTCAAATACATTTTCTTTTTCAGGTACAAATTGTTAAAAAACTCTGAAGTAGTGTGCTATTTTTCTCCTACCACTACACTCCCTTTTTTCAGTTATCAATAAGCCCTCAGATTTCCACGGCTTCTATGAAAATTTAAAAAAAGGTCAGGTGGATGCTTCCTTGGAAGTTGGTTGACTAAACACAAATTTTGTAATTTTTTCCTCGCATTCAGTCCATGTCAATTCCTGGGATTTACAAGAAACTGATGAATTTCATTTCTATTCTCCACTGTGTTTTTAAGCTTTTCTGCTCCAGACTGTCTTTCTTCTTTTGCGCTGTTACTGAAGCTACTTAGCCTAGTCCCAGCTCTTTCAAAGTTCATAAACATCAGAAATAACCTCAGATTGATTGTCCAGTCCTGGGCAATGGCTCTAGGTGGCCCTGCTCAACAAAGGAGTCTGCTCAGGTGAGCTCCAGAGGACCCTTTCAGCCTCAACTGTTCTGTGTTTTTATGATTCATGTGAAATCATTGCATCAAGGGTGTGCAAGACTGTTATTAGATCCCTTAGTAAATTCAACTTCCCTGCATTTTTCATCTGACTTTAAATAACCTGACTGCCATAAGTAAGCTTCCCATTTGCTCTCTGTACTGTTTTTTTCTGCATTGCTAGATGTCTGCTGATGGTATTTCTTTTGAAAGTCATTCAGGTTTGTTTAATAACCTGATTTCCTTGTCTCCTCGGTGGCAGAAGATAATATTGCCTGCATTGTAGGCTTCATACATTTGCATTTTCTTCTTCCTTTTTCTCATTCTTTCCTTGCATTTCTACATGGTGAAATCTAATGCCTTGTCTGTGATTCAGTATTTGTAAGGAGGCTTGTGTTTGAAGTGGGGTTTGAATGTTTAGATATGGTTGATTGCAAGCCAAGATACAAAATTAACTATTGTCTCTCTTCTTCCAGCCACTGTTTCCAGGACAGGGACGCTGATGCCTCATGTGAAAGCCAAGGTATTGCTCTTCAGATCTATGTGGCAATTGGTGAATGGTGGCATAGTTACTGCAGTCATATTGTTTGAGAAACTGGCTGAAAAAGAGCAGACAGAAATGGGTTTAAAATAAAAGCAGAACTGCAATCAGCTTGCAGCAATTTCTCCTTTTGTTTTTTACTGTGTTTTCTGTTTGCTTCTGCTGTTCAACTTGTCTTCCCTCGCCAGAGATCCATCCTCTCTCCTTTTTGCCATCTGCCTTCCATCAGAGCTCTTTGTCCATCAGTCAAGCACTTTTTCCAAGGGGGTGATCTTTTCTTTTGGTCTGGTTTCAGGTCATACCAGGAGCAGACGACAGGTTCAACAGCACACGGAAACAATCTGTTGGAGCCCAGTTCCGGGTACGGTATTGCTGCCCTGCAGTGCCCCGTGAGATGAGTGCAGTGATGTTTTCATTGGAGCTTCCAGACTGCTATGCATAGTTGAAGCATCACTGGTGTAGACAGGGGTTTTCCTGGGTGCCAAGCACGGCTGATTGTGGTGGGACTGACCAGGTTGTTGTCAGAGCCCGGGAGGTTGCTGTGGGGGGAGAAAACAGTTCCCACTGCAGGCTATTGCATGTCAGGCTCTGGCAGTGTTTTGACTTGATGGACTGTTGATCCTGTGCCCTTGACAGCATTCCCTGATGGTGCTCATGGAGAGGTTGTATTCTGCCAACCCACACTTTGTGCGCTGCATAAAGCCCAACAGCCAGAAGGAGCCAGGTGTGGTAGACAACGAGATGGTGCTGCTACAGGTGAGGATAAGCAGTGTTTGTCCTTTACAGGTACCTCTGCCATGGCTCAGTGGGAGGGCAGACCCCAGCAGAAGGCTGTGGAAGCTGACTCATCTGAGTCTCCCCTTGCAGAGAAAGAGTGGCCACACTTTATATACATGTGGATGTTCTAAGCACTTGCTTGTTTTTATGGCACAGACTGCTAGGTCCAGATTTTGCACTCTTAGTTCTCTCCCATTTCTTTTTCATTAATCCAATTGAGATCTGCTTTTTGGGCACTAGGATTCATCTTTGCATCTCCTCCTGGATGGGGACTGGTACAGACAGTACTCCAGAAAAAAATGCTTTCCAGAGGAGACTGTTCTCACCCATCAGCCAGGCCAACTCTGAATAGGAGCCAAGATGGGATTGCTTTGATAGGAGTTGAAGTGCACTGATATGACTGTATTTGGATATTGTGTCAGGCCTGAGGTCTAGATGCTTTAAAGAAAACTGAAAATGATTAGAAGAGTTCAGAAAGCTCAGTGGCCTGTTTAATGTATATAAGAAAGGAAAGGATTAAGAGGAAGTTCATCCATGCCTCAGAGTACTTCTGTGCCTAGATTTGGAAATAAAAAGCTGTCCTCTAAGGGACAGAGGCAAAGCAGTACCCATGGCTGGAAGGTGAAGTTATTTCAGTAGTTGGTTTTTATGGTTTCCAACTTCTAACTCAGAGTGGTTAATCATCAGAGTTACAGGATGTGGTAAATTCAGTCTCTAACCAAGGAAACATTTTCAGAAAAAAACTTTTTCGTTTTGAACTGGAGAAGTTTAAGACTGAATGAAGTAACTTCTGACTGCAAAGGAACAAACTGATGTCCTAATGGCCTGCTTCTCTTTGTTTCTGGGATCCTCTTTGTGGTGCCGCTTCAGCTCCGGTACAATGGACTGCTGGAGACAATCCGTATCCGAAGAGATGGTTTCTCCTGGAGACCCTTCTTTGAGGAATTTGCTGAGAGGTTTGTTAAAACCTCTGAGTGTTCCTTCTTAGGTATTATTAGGGAATCAACCTTGCTAACCAGATATGGGCAAGGAGTAAAACACCCTCTTTAAAGTTCATGTTGTCTGAGATCATGGGATTGTTTGCTGTGGGAGGCTGAGTGAGAAAGACAGTGATGTATTGTTGTTTGCTGTCAGGGTGACATGGGTCAGCTCAGCACATCAAGGATGTGGCCTTTATGTGTCTGTATGGGTTTGTTTTCCACAGATATGCAATTCTTCTAGTTAAACCTGATGTCTCCCTCACAAAAGAAAGGTAGGAACACTTCCTTTGTTGTGTGCAGTCTGATTTGTTCTTCAGAGGCTCTTACTCTCAGAGTAGCATAGCAAACTAAGTAAAAGGGGCAAAAAGAAGATGGGGTTTTTTGGTGGTGGGGAACAAAGATCCCAGGCAAGGATATTTAATGTTTAAAAAGCATTTGGTGCAATGATGAGTGAAATCTTTCTTGAATTGTTATGTAGCAATTCAGTTGAATTACCATATAGCCTTGCTATTCTGTGGAATGAAAACTGGCCAAGATACTTTATTTAGGGGCTGACAGTAGTGGTCAAGGCTGTTCACTGAACTCAGTGTGGCAGGGCCTCTCCAGATTTTTCCTGATGGCTTCATGGGAGAAGAAAATAAAGACAATGCTGAACAAGCACCCATCACTGAATGTGTCCCGGGGTAGAGAGGATGTGTCTAGTCCAAGTATTTCGTATATGCGCAGGCGAAACATACCCTCAGCACTTTCAGAACATGACCGTTCCTTACGTGTGTAAATGTCCTTCCATCTCTGCAGAGGGACAGAGTCTTACCCTGTCAGCTTTTTCCTTTCTGCATCTAGGGCAGCAGTTCCCCACCTCCTCTTCTCCACTTTCCCAGTCCCTTCTTCCTGCCTGTGTCAATTGTGATTGATAGTGCGAATGAAACATGTAAGGCAGCCAGCTGAGGAGGGGTTTTTTTAGTCATTTAAGAAAAGGATTTGAATGATCTCCTGGAACAGCTCTCTCCTGGCAGTAGCTCCTCCAGCCTTCACAGTGCTTCCTTGAACTTCCTGATGGTTCTGAATAATAAGAATTGCAAACCCAAGTGAGGTCACAAGAGAATCTCCTAGATGGGAGAAAAGTGATTGTAAACAGGCAGCATGGTGTGTTTTCAGAGGCAAAAAACAGCGGATGCATTTGAGATAAAAATTCCTGTGGATTTGGATTGTGGCACTGTAGAAGTTGGCTGAGATAGAAGTAAAACCACTTCTGCTTTGCTGTGTGAGATATTAGCAAAAAGTGTCACTATGATTTCACAGCTTGGATTTGCAGGCAGAGGGAGGAAGCTGTCTGTGTGTTGCAACTAGAGTAGTGCTTTCAGTTCCAAGTGTTAGGGAATCTTTCCGAGTGACCCACATTTTGTCAGTGAAGTCTTCAAAACGAAACTGGAATTGGAAAACAGACTTTCTCCCGGAAGTCTTGCTGTGCCGACCTTGCAACTTTTGTCCTTCAAAGGGCTTGAAAACGAAATGAGGAAGAACAGTTCTAAGAATAAAATAGGCTCTGCAGAGTTGCCTCCCAGGGAGTTGAAGGAAATCTGCCTCTGGGAAGCCCTTTGCTGATGTTCTCAAATGTGATACTAGCTGTACCCCAAGGTAGACAGACTGACAACAGTTACTGACTGTTGAGATTGCTGAGGCATTTTTCCTCCTCCTTATGCACCTAAAAACACTGGCTACATTGTGTTCACTTCAGGGGAAAATTATTTATTTTACCATTTTCCTCTTTTTCAGCTGCTTGGAGATACTGCAAAGTACAGAGCTGAAAGGCTGGATATGTGGGTAGGTGTGGATCATTGTTGCTGGGAGTGGGGAGCCTAAACTGCAGAGACTTTATGCATGTAGTCTGTTACCTGGTTCTCTGCAGGGAGAACTTCATGACTGTAGGAAAGGCTTGTCCGAAGGATGGCGTATGCAAGTTTATGTAAACGGTGTTTCTCCCTGCGTCTTTCTCTTCCCAACTTCACAGAAAGTCACGACTTTTCTTTAAGTATTGGCATCAGGAACAGCTGGCAAAGTGTGTGGAGCGACTGGAAAGAGCAGCAGTTGTCATACAGAAAGGTGAGCACTGGAAAAGGAGAGTCCCTCAATGCTGATCTCAGACCAGAGGAAGGAGAACCTTTTCTGCAGTCCCTCCTCTTCCTTTGCACCTTTGCAGATGACAGAAGGCTAGGGCAGGCACCATCTCCATGTCAAGGCCCCGTGAAGTCAAAGTACTCATTGCAAATGCTCACAGTGCTCATCCTCAGTCAGGAAAAGCCCTCAGACAGTGTGAGCCTTGGAAAGGGAAAACGTGTGCTCTGGAGAGCTGAGCTGAGCAGGGCAGGCATGTGATTTGGCATCCTGAAATCTGGCTAACTGTCCTCTGGAGTAACGGCTTGTTTGTGAGTTGTGTTGAACTGAGCAGAGGGAAATGAGTGAAGCAGATCTCATTCCTGCTTTTAGAGAGGACGAGGTTTTGGTCTGCCTTGGTTTTTTTTCTTTCCTTTCCACGTAGCATCTGCTCTGGCAGCCTGTTTCTCCAGAGTGGCTGTGGGCAGTTTGGTACTTCACTTTGCACAGGGTCCATGGGGAATGTGCAACCAGGAGAAGGAGGAGGCTGTCACCATGCCTAGTCCCTCTCTGTTGCTGTTCTCTTCTGTATGGGTTGCTGCACTGCTGAAGCATCTGAGCAGCTTCCAGCTGTGCACCGTACAGTGTGACAAACGTCAGACTGTCACATGCTGTGCATTGTTCTGATCCACAGGGAAGATGTGTGGGTAGTAGGAAATGAGAGAGTGCAACCTTCAGTTCATGTGCCTTAATACCTGGTAGAGTAGGAGGGATCATGCAGTGTCTGTAATGCTCCTGATGAACCCTGTGATAGCTGCCTGTGGTAAAGATTATCCTGGGGACTGACACTGAGGAAATCCCATCTCCATAGGGTCTGAAGGATACCAGGGAGATACCAGAGGGTTAATGGACCCTTCTGTGAGCCTGTTTTTCAAGTGTTTGGTGCCTTGGCATTAGAGATGAGATCTGTAGTTGGATTTCTATAAATCTGTGATCTAGCAACTTAGAGAGTAGAAGACAGTTCTCACATGGTTTTGACCGCTTGCTCACAGTAGAGTTTTCATTGCTGTTTATTAACATGATTCAAGTGTCGAGGACTTTGCCCTGGATGAAAGAATATTATCTGGTGTTCTTCCCTAAGAGAGTGACAAGGGCATGAACAGCTCTTTCTTTTTTTTTTCTAACCACAGTTTTTCTCTGAACAGTTTATAGGGGATTCAGATGCAAGAAGAGTTACGTAAAATTGGTGGCTGAGCTGAGAGCTCAAGCACAGCATCTGCAGAAGTTGGCAGAGAGAGAAAGAAGACAGCAGCTGGCCCTGGAAGCAGAGGCCCAGAGTGAGTTGCTCCCACTCCCAGTGCCCCTGTGCATGGCCACTGGTGTGACGATCACCTCAAAGAGCTGTAAGCTCCAGGGGATGGTGGCCTGCCCTCAGCTCTCCATCAGTGTGGTGGGCAGGGAGGTGCTGACACTTTTGCTCTTTCAAAGTGTAGCTTCGTCTATGGGGAGCAGAAGCAGCATCATGAGGGTTGTTTGCCTGGCTCTGCTGGAAGGAGTGCCCAGGCTGTGTCTTTCCCACATACTTGGTGCAGCAGAGACTGTCCCTGTCCTGGGTACATGGAGGGTGGATATTGGATGCTAGATTTCACCTACTTATTTCCTCTTGTTGCAGAAAGGAGCCACTTTCCAGTTCCCATGCCACGGAAGAGGCACTCTCAGCCTAATCCCAATCCTTCTGATAAGTCACAACAGCCACCAGTGCCACGGCCACGCAGCAAACTAAAAGAGGTAGTTTTGGGGCCCCTTAGCCAGATGTGCTGGTTCCCTGCCCCATCTACCTTCTGCATGCACATGTTCTCCTGCATGTGATCCCAGGAGAATGTTGTCATTTTTATTATGAGAAGTGTGAGTCCTTTCCTACTGTTGTTAGTTAAAAAGCATGGTCAGGACCTTTGAGGAACTGAGAGCAGTGTTCAATAGTTTGCAACTGATCTTGTCTTAAGGGACTCAGGAATGGGATCGCCTACCAAAGTGATGCCTTCAGAGACCCCCTGCCTTTGATCTTGCTTTCATGCCAACTTTCCATCTGTCCCCACTTTCAGTCCACTCCTTTTGATAACTTCTTGGACCCTTCTGTACCTCACCCTGTTCTGCGAACAGAGGAGCACACTGGAGAAGAAGCAGAAATGAGGAAAATAAAGAGAGGAGCAACTCTCCGCTGGTTCAGAGAGACACAGGCCGAGAAGGTCGTGCAGGATGATGGGGCCTTTCCAAGCTGGCTGCATGGGATGATCAGCAGGAGGTGAGTACACTGGACACAGTGGCTGCAGCTTGGGCTATGACAGGCAGGCAGAAGCCACCGTGTCCTTAGGAGGACTGCATAGGTTGAATTTGACAGGCTTTACTTCCCTAAGGAATAGGAGTGACCCACATAACCTTTCTCCCTTTTAATCTGTGAGTGTCAAACCCCTTGGAGGAAGCTTGTCACAGGATGCAAATGCTGAAATTTTGCATAGGTCCAGAGAACAACCATGAAACTCATAGGAAATAAACACACTCTGGGTTCCTCAATACAGATCCTGTGCGGGGAAGGGAGGCTTGTAAAGTAACGGGAAAGGAAATACACACATGCATTTTACCCTGCTGAGGACCATTTGCAGAGGCAGGAAGATGGACTTTTGGGCTGACTTATTATGACTGGTTTTGTATCTCAGTCTAGGTCAGGAGGAAACCTCAGTTTACAGCAGGAGAATACAGATTTGTATTAATATTTTTTATTAAATGTTATTTATTTATTAAATTTTATTTTTTATTTTTATTTAGTGAGAACCCCATAGCAAAATTCCTCCGAAGCCCCCTGACAGAGGAAAAGGAAGGGTTTTTGTTGATATCTCTGCCTATCCAAGTAGGGTGCACCATAGGTGGAATTTACTTCTCCTTAAGCTGGCAGAGACATCCACAATGCCTATCTTTCTTACAGAGTTGATTACAAGACTGTGAACTCTAAAGCTTTTTTGCAAAAACCTTTATTTAAATGCTTGAAGTTTTGCTACTGGGTCTGCCTCACACTTCACTCTCTTGGCTGAGCCAGGCTCTACTTTTCAAGCACTGTGATAATCAGAAATGCTGGTGAACTGGATGGCAGTATAGTCTCACCTGTATGCAAATTAATCTATGGTTCTCCATGCTTGCCTAACTGCCAGTATCCCAGAATTGGTAGGATTTCTGTGTCAGTGTTGCTGTTCAAGTTGTCACTTGAACACCCTCATCATCTTGTTCCAATTTCTAACTTTTTTTTCTGTTAAAACTGCAACTCTATTTCAGTCTTATTAGATCACAGGTGCCTGGATTTTGTCAGATTATCGGTGTGAATCTTTACTCACAGACGATTACACAGCATATTAGCTTAGCAAAGAACAATACAGTAGCTGACAACTCCCTGGTAGCTGCATTTCTTTTCTCCTTTTTTAAGATAATTATTGGTGCCTTAACGTACATTAATGCTTTTGTCCACAGATGGAAGAATGCAGGAGAGGAACTGGTGTCTGGAAGACAAAACTGTCTAAATTCAAATATAGGCTAGCTATGAGCACTTCACAATGAAGGGCCAAAGACACTGATGCTTAAGTGGAGATTAAAGTCTCCATACAGCAGTGTAAGCTCAGCCTCATGAAACGGAGCAGACAGAGGAATCCCGAATTGCACTGGTGATTTGCAGTCACCTTTAGCCTGGAGCAAGGCACATGACAAGCACAAAGCAGAGCTTTGTCTTTTGGGCAGAGAGGGGGAAGACCTCCTTCCAGCAGGAAGTTAGAGAGCCAGGGTGGTGTAATCCAAGTTGGTGTTTTTCCAAGGCACTGGGCTTACCCCCTATCCCACTGCATCCTGACTTCTTCAGCCCTGGTGTGTAGGAAATGGACATGGGCACAGACCCCTCATCTCAGCAGTGCTTTGTCACATGCTCTGTGCTGGAAGGCAGCTGTTGCTATTGCACTTGTCAAACTGCTGGAGCAGGTTTGGAGCAGCCCTGCTTGGAGAGGCTATTGCTGAGAGTATCGTGCCTCCTCACCCTCCTAATGCCTCCCACACCACCAAGCCTGAGTCAGGAAACCAAGCTAGGAACACACTGGGCAGATGCTGGCTGCTTCCTTGGAGTGGGAGCACTATGCTGGTAGCACATGAGATAGGATGGGAATCCCTGCTATGTGACAAGGTATGTGCTCACTTTCCTCTGAAAAACTCTTTCCTAATTCCAGGGAAGCTGAAAACTTGCTGCGTGACAAGCCTTTGGGTTGCTTCCTTGTTCGGATTAGCCAGAGCCAACCAGGCTACATCTTGACATACAGGTAGGTAACAAGCCTTGCAGAGAGGGCTCAGGGAAGACCTTCTTGCTGTCTGCAGCTACCTGAAAGGAGGTTGTAGCAAGGTGGGGGTCAGCCTTTCCTCTCAGGCAATTGGCAAAAGGGCAAGAAGACATAGCTTCAAGCTGTGCTAGGGTAGGTTCAGCTTGGACATCAGGAGGGATTTCTTCATGTAAAGGGCTGTCAAGCACTAGAAGAGGGTGCAAAGGGCAGGGTGGAGTCATCATCTCTGGTGGTATTTAAAAGATACATACATGTGACACTTGGGGACATGGTTTAGTGGTGGACTTGGCAGTGCTGGGTTAATGGTTGGACTCAAGAATCTTAAAGGTCTTTTCCAATCTAAATGATTTTGTGGTTCTATGAAACTGAGCACTGCATGAAATTCTATGATCCTGGAATTCTACAATCATAGAATTCTAGAATTCTGTGATTCTGCCTGACTGGAGGAGATGACTTGCTCCACAGAGGAGTCCAGTGAGGAGGCTCAGCCTCTCCTGTCGTGGATGCTTCAGACAGTTTGTAGTAGCAGACAGGACACTGCAGAGTTTGTCTCTTGCCAAAAAATAGACCTGGTTTTGGGTGTGGTACTGTGCTCCAAGGGTAGAGATCCTGTACTATATGGCTGAGTGCACAAATCAGGTTGGAAGGAGCACTGAGGTTGTTGCTCCTCCAGCACCTACAGGCACAGTGTGTTAGTGCACAGCACATCTCCTGCCCCTCTTTGGTATTTTTTGCCGTGGACACTGGTCACATCTGGCCTCTTGAGACCACAGGTGGAGAAAGCAGGAACCAGGTGCTGGAGAGACGGTGCAGCCCTGTGCCATGACTGTTCCTGTCTGTGCATGTCCCCAGGGGCCAAGACCGCTGCAGACATTACATGATCCAGGTGCAGCCCAACGCACGCTACATCATCCTGAGAGAGGACCGGGCTCACGCCTCGCTCACCGCTCTAGTTCGGTACCACCAGACCGTGGGCATCCAGCCCTTCATGGAGATACTGACCGTTCCCTGTGCGCAGGTGAATGCCAAGGATCTGCAGTGGGAACAGGGGGCGGGGACTGTGCCGTGCGTGGATAGGGTCACAGCAGCAGCATCTCACTTCTGTTTTCCTGTTGGGGGGTGTCCCATTCTGGCCAAGCAGCTTGGCTGCTTCTGCATGCACCGGGAAATGCTGTTAGCTGGGAGTCCTGTGGTGGGGGAGAGGCACTATCAGGTGGATGACACCCCTCCCGACCCCTGAATGTCAGCAGTGGACACAGCTGTGTGTTCCTCTTTGTTGTGCTGTTTGTGTTTGGAGGGTCTGCAAACCACTGCTGACTCCACTCTTCCTTTCCTCAGAAAAGTAGTAATGACCTGGATTATGAAAATCTGGAGTACCCCACGCTGAGTTCACCCGAAGGCAAAGTAGCGACCCCTTCACAGAAGGAGCCCCGTCCCTCCATGCCTTCCATCAGCAAACCTGTTCTGCCATGGTTCAGAAAGAGCAAGAATTTCCAAAACCAACAGACCCTGGACAAGAGTAGGACAAATCCAAGCTCTAGAGAGAGCAGACAGCAAGCCTTCCCTCGCCTCCGCTCTTCCATACGACTGGCGATGCAGGAAATCCAGCAGGTGAGCTGGGGCATATCTTCTACCAAGCCATGGCTCCTCTGGGACAGAAGGAGCTGCCCTGCCCAGGGGCAGGAGAGAGGAGGCTTCCCCAAGTAGCACTTGGTTTCTTAGCTCCTGGGTCACAGGTTTGGTTTGGTGTCTTGGGATCAAGACTGTATTCTTTGGAAGTGCCAGACTGGGGGAAGACCCCGAGAGGGGCTCATTGAGATGCCCAAAGAAAAGTCTACGGCAGAAGGGCTGTGATGTGACCAGTGTCCCAGGAACTGCTTCCCTAATGCTGTCCCTCTGCTTCTCACTGCAGTTCAATTCCTATTCCGTGAATGTCCCTGAACAGGGGCAATCGAGCCGTCACCGCTGAGGATGTGTAGCCCAAATGACTCGGTAAGGAGGAGGCACGAGGGCAAAAAGCAATTGCAGCTCCCCGGGAAATGGAGGAGTAGAGGGGCTCTTCCCTTCATGCTCCACCTGGAGCACCTCTTGGCCGCAAGCTACATAGAAATAGAGTAGGAAAAACAGAGGGCAGCAGCCAGCTTCCGTCCCAGGACTGCAAAGAGACCGGGAGAACTGGGAAGAATCAGCTGAGGTTTGGGTTCCCAGCAGCTGTGGTGCAGAGTGCCTGCAGTACAATGGCAAGGCTGCTGGAGGGAGCTCACAGTTTGTTGGAGGCCTGGGGCTGGAAGGACTAGGACTATTAAAATGCCTGTCTGCAGTGGCTTAGTGTGGTAGAGGGAGGTGCTGTGGGTAGCAGGGGCAGTGAGCTGAAAGGAAGGCTTAAAACATTGGATAAGGCAGCAACTTTTATTGCTCTGAAGAGGACTTTAAACAAGAAGGCTTTAACAAGGTCTCAGCAGCTGGAAGCACAGCTGGTTAATGAGACTGTGGTCCATTGGGTGGGTTATAGGAGTCTATGGAGTGGGCCAGGAGGGGCCTTTTGGCAGACCTTGCATTGTCTGAAGAATCTAGTGGATGTGCAGCTCCCACTCAGTTGCTGAAGGCAGGTGGAAACTGTAGTGGTGCCGCTGTACACCTCTGGAAAAATATCAGGATATATGTGAACTGGGAGTGGAGAAGGATCAAAAGACCATGTTTTTGGCTGCTGACCCACCACAGGGCTTCCAGCCTTGCACCAGGATTGCCGAGCTTCCTGCACAGTTCCACTCCCACCTGGAATTCATGCTGTAGCAAAACTTTTTAGCTGGGGCCTGTCTTGTCTTTTTCTTGATGGCTGAGAAAATCCTCTCCCTGAAGTATTTGACTCAATTGCTTGATTTCTCTACATACCATTCATTGATGTACCCAGGGGATACTCCCTATGTCTGAGGTTAGGCAGAGGAAAGACAAACTGCATAGACAACTTCAAGCTTGTTGCACTGGGATAGCTGAATGAAAGCCTCATTTTATGTCCTCCAATGAGTTATGTTTCTTGACTTTCTTGCAGGTCCAAGTGGCTCAGCCCTATTCTCTTCCAGTGCTGCTGGGCCTTGCCTAGTAGTGAATGTATTCAGACATAGAGTTGCCTTTTTCCTTTTCTCTCTCTCTCTTTTTTTTTTTTTTTTTTTTCTCTGCACCCACCTGGCTCTGTGCCTTTAGGCAGGACTGATGCAGAAATTAACTCAGTCATTCTCAGTGGCTGCAACTGCAGTATCTGGACAAGTCTGACCCTGGCAGAGGGAGAGGATGGGAGCAGTAACACTCTGCACAGACCCACAGTACCTGACAATCTGCGTGTCAACACTTCAGTGTTCCCAGAGACTCCTCACTTAGCACTCTGAATAGCCACAAACTGCGTATCTCCCAAGAACCTGTTCTGTCACAAATACCTGTTCTGATTGCCTACCTCTTTCTCCTCAAGTCGTCTCTCTCTGTTTTGGTCCTGTGTATCTGCTGCTCTGGAAGCTAAGGGGGATATAAATAAGACTGATCTGTCGTTTTTGTTGAGTGCAGGAGCACTTGAACAGAAGCTGAGAAGGGTCAAGAAGATCCTTCTTGCAGAGGGGATTTCCTGCCCTTGCATCAGCAGCATGCTGCTCCCCAGTCCTTGACCAGAGCTCAAGTCAGGGAATCACTGGTGAAACATTCATCCTGGCTGAAATCATTACAAGTCTGGGCTGGACAACATGCTGCTTTACACTGAGTGTAGAGGGTTTGGAATATAAGGGACCAAACTACTTGTACTGTTCTTAATACCTTTTCAAGTAAATCTCTTTTTATTCTATAAGGAGGAATTTGGTGTTTTCTTTGTTGCTGTTACCTGCACTCAGCTTGGTCATGGATTGCAAATGAAAGGCTAACACCTCTGAGGGTGGACACGGGATCACATTAAGTGTCTCAGTGGAGAAGCTGAAGGCTCATGGGCCACTAACCCTGGTTACAGCTACCAACTCTCAACAGTCGCTCTGGTACTTACTTACTCCTTAAATGCTCCTGGAGTACTCCTTACTCCACCTGTAATGCTCTTGTCCTGCACCAGCCTCATCTCCCTGTGTATACCGTGGATGAGATATCCCCTCTGCAGCCTGTGCTGAGCTCCCTCTGCCTCTGGTCCCCTGGAAGATTCCTCTACTCTGAAGGACAGCCATGCCGCCCACCCCACTTCCCTCCTCCCTCAGAGGCACAAGCACAGCTGAGTCCAGGCTGGTGCTGTTACTAATGAGACACAGGGTGCAAGCGGCTGTTCCTCCTCCCGCCCTGTGCTGAGCTGCACTGGACCTCAAGGCATGCTGCTGGCACCAGACAGGGAAGTGGTGGCTGTTCCAGCCCACTGTGCTGGCTCTCTCTGGCACTGCCTTGCAGCATTAACACACCTTTTCTCTTCCTCATGTTGGATTTTGGCAGCTGCTTTGAAGGTGTTCAGGACAGAACCAGTCCAGGCAGTCAAAGGCTGCTTTAGGCAAAGTCTTGCTGGCTGAACCCAGGAGTGTTTTACTGGGCAGCTTTGGCTGCCAGTGTTCTCCTTGGCTTCCTTCACTGCTGGGCAGCTGGGAAGCCTGCCTCTTGGGTAGCACACAGAACCACTTTGCAGCCAAAACATTTCTAAGAACTCATGCACGGAGCTGAGATACGTACGAGAAATGCATATCAGTAATGAAGTCGCTCGGTAACTCTTTCCTGCTTCCAGTGCCAAAGAGCATGGTGCAAGTCCAGGGCTAAGATCCAGCTGCAGAACACTGTTGGCTCCTGTAGCCTGGCAGTGGTAATGTTGAACCCACATGAGTGGTGAAGAGCTCTTCCCCAGCAGCTGCCATGAGTAGCTCCTGAGTGCTACTGCAGGCACAGCTCACAAGTGGTACTAGAGGGAATGACATGAGGGCAGGGTCAGGTTAATTCCCTAGTGGGTCAGCTTGGCACATCTCCTGGCAATCTTCCCAAAAACAGAGCCAATCACTCACAGATGTCTTTTGCCCCTGTTGCAGTGGGTGGTAAGTAGAATCACAAGTTGGCCAGCCGGGAGCCTGGCACAGACACAGGCAGCACACCTGCACTGGCAGGTCAAGCTTCTTGCACATGTATTATTTCTGCTTTTTCTGTGACAAGGCAGGAGGAAACCAAGGGAAGAGAGGGTGAGAAGCTGCTAGTCAGAGGAGGTTATGCAACGCTGGAGGCATTGGCATGTTTTCTGCAAGGCACTGGTTTGCAGAGTCATTAGCAAACACTCAGTGCCCTGCCTACATGCAAGGTCTAGTCAAGCTTCTGGAGAGCAGTGGGGGTAGTGCTGGGCTGTCAGGGAGAAAAATGTGTGCCAGCAGCTGGGAAAAACTGAGGGAAGAGCTGGGAATACAATAGGCTGCTGAAGAATAAAATGGAGATTTGACAACTCTAGTGTGGTCTTTGCCTGAATGTTTCTAGTTCATGGCCAAAGTCAGCACTGGATCTTCAGCTCTATGTGAGAGCTAAGAATTTCTTTCATCTTCTCCATGAAGACAACTTGTCCTTTGAAGACAGACTGAGAGAGTTGGGGTTTTTCAGCCTGGAGAAGAGAAGGGTCTGGGGAGATCTTATGGCACCTTCCAATATCTAAAGGGTCTACCAGAGAGCTGAAAAGGAATTTTTCACAAGGGCCTGGAGTGCCAGGACAAGGGGAAATGGCTTTAAACTGTCAGAGCACAGGTTTAGATTAGATACGAGGAAGAAATTATTTACTGTGAGGGTGGTTGAGGCACTTGAACAGGTTTTCTGGAGAGGCTGTGGATGCCCTTGAAAGTGTTCAAGGCCAGGCTGGTGGCAACCTGGTCTAGTGGAAGGTGTCCAGCCCATGGCAGGGAGTTGGAATGAGATGACGTTTAAGGTCCCTTTCAGCCCAAGCCTTGTTAAGATTCTGTGGTGCAGTTATCCACTGAAGAAGAACAGCTAGATGAGAAGGCATACCTTTTTTCCTACAGCAGAAACTTGCCTCATGGCACTTGGAAAGTCATGTCTCAGAAAAAAGCAAAGGACAAATTGTGTGAGCCAGAGCGGGAAGGCATTTTGTGTTATATCATGTTATAGTTCAGCTGGCATACGATGAACTAGATAGGATGTACTCCCAAAAAAAACTGCAAATACCAGGCTATGTTGGGCTGTGTGAGCAGGGGCAGCAACCAGAAGATGGACAGGCAGCCTATGGAACCCCTGGGCACTGCATTTAATGCCCCAGGGGACTCGAGCTAAACTCTGAGAGAAAGGCTAGGAATAGAAACACAGGCATGGGGAACTGGGCAGAGCCAGCACACAGGAAGGTGGGAAGAGCAGCAAGAAGGATTTGCAATCCACAGGAGTGAGAACTAGAAGTGCTCCTTTGGGCCTGAAGGCTTGGGAGGAATTATATTTCATAATCTGGGCCTTCCAAGTCATGCCCCCACACTCCACCCCTACAACTAGTGATTCATAGCATCCTTTAAAGAGCTTCCTTAACTTGCCTCCTTGTTTTTGTAAAAGGATTTTGTGCCCTTTTCTTAACTGCCTCTGTGCTTTACATCTGAATGATATTGGCAACAAACATTTTAGCTAATCACCTCTGGACAAAGATCCAGATCAGTCCTGTTCTGTCCAAACTAAAGCTCTGTCTTGCCTTTGGTCCTTGAGATATCTGGTCAGCAATTCCTCATTAAGCTGGCCGAAACAGAAATTTTCTCTCTTCTTCCATTCAATCCTGCTTGTTCTCCTTTTTCACAGGGCTGCTTTTTCCTCTCCTCTCCTCAGTCTGGCCATCATCTCTGATGCACACTTGAGTTTTAGAAATGTGAACCTGTAATCCAGGGACCAGTATGGCTCTTAAACTCTTTTCACAGAACTGGCAGCCTTCAAGTTGTTTGCTTTCTTCCTGGGCGATGTTGTAGTGTATGTTGACATGTTTCCTTCCCCAAATGCATCTCTAAGACCTATTTGGCCCTCAGCCCAGACAAGGCTCTCCATGCCACTCTGTGCCTCACTCCAGCCTGTGTCAAGTGACTGTGGAGTGTTATGACAGCATTTCTGAGCTATGGCCTTTCCTATCTTCTAGTTAAAGTCCACACCAAATGCTTGCATGATGTTACACTGCTTTGCAGCAACATCTAGCACAGGCTACTTGACCAGAGCTTTGCCTATCAGCTTGCTCCTCCTGGCGCTGCACAAGAGCATAGAAACTACTGTGTGAGATGTAGGGGTCAAAGCAGCATCAGATCCTGGCTGTGAAGGTGGCCATGGGGATGCTTGGAGCAGATGGAAGAGCCATAAAGCCATGCTTCCTCTACCATGTGTTCCCAACAATGCTCAGTTTAATCTTAATTCTGACCAAAGTACCCTTCTGTCTAGCAGTTCCTTGCTGGGATTGCTCTTCCATAAGAGCACCTGATTGCTTTTGATACATTCTGGATCATTTTGTATCCTAGAAATCCTAGTTAATTAATTCCCCAGACCTAGAGAACCACAGAAACACAGAATGGGTAAGGTTGGAAAGGACCACATCTGGTTCCTGCTCAAGCAGGGTCATCCTAGAGCACCTGGCATGGGATTGCACCCAGGTGGTTCTTGAGTATCTCCAGTGAGTGAGACGCCACAAGGCATAGTGAAAAAGTACTTAAATTTGCTTGGGTTTTAACCTATGTCATTACTTCATCAATACGCTCTTGTTTCTATACTATAAAACATAACAAGTAATCATTTCTAAATTACCTCGGTCACTGCACATGATTTTAAATACATTTTGATTTTCCCTTTCCCTTTTTCTGCTTCTTCTTATTTCCATTATGCCTTCTCTGAGAGGAAAGAGAGCAAACCCGGAGCTGACTCCCAGGCCGCTTTCTGGAATGAGGACAACTGGTCTGAACTCTTTCTTTGTGCAGGAAGAGTTTCTCCTTGTAAATTACATCTACCAACGATTATTTTATCCGTCATTTTGTCACCCAGCTGCTCATTCTGAGATCTTTCTTGAACACTGCAGTGAGTACTCTACACTGCACTCTTCAGCCTCACCAGCAAACTCTGCCCCATCAGTGCCCACACCCAGACCATTTATGGATACAGCAAAAATCACAAGCCCTAGCACACACTGGTGGTACACACTGGTGTGTCCTCCATTTTAAACACTGACCATTTTTCATTCATTATCTTCTGCCTTGCTATTACCATAGGAATAAACATCTTGCGGAAGAGAGCAATTAAGGACATTTGGTGTGAGCTGAAAGTGTTTTGGGCATCCAAGTACATCCATCTGTCCAGACACATCCATGAAACTGGATTCCTCACTCTTTCAAGGAGTAAGACGTGATTCTTTTCTACTAGAATGGGGTTGTTCCTGTCCCTTTAATCCCACAGACACTATTCCTAATTCCCTGTGTGGAACTCAGATTCACTCAGGTCCCCAGATTTAGCCAAATATCTTATATAAACAGAAGCCCAACCCTGGCATCTATTTGCCTCCTGTCATTCCTCTAGCTTCAAGCTGAATTAAGCAACAGGTTGTGTGTCCCATAGCATCTGGTGTTGAAGTTCCTCCAGAGCTCTTGCATAAATGCCATTTATATAATTTACTGTTTGTGTTGTAAATTTGTTTTTAAACTTATCTTGCTGAATGCTTTCACTTGAAGCAGTTTGCCTCATCCATCCCTGCAAAAGGAGGTTGCAAGATAGGAATTTCCCTTTGTACCTTGCTGGTGTGGATCACTCACTATGTTTTCTGCTGGGTTTCTACGTTCTCTGAATTGTCTTTCACAGCTCTGATATATTATTTATGGCAAGCTTCCAGGGTGAAAATGTGGG